CAGCTCTTGCAGTAACGATATTTGGACACGCGGTGGCAGCACGAGCGCTCCCGACATCTCTGCGCATGCGCGCTCCCCCCTCCCTCTTGCAGTACCCACTTTAGGACACGTGGTAGCAGCAGCGAGTGCTCCCGACTGCTCTGCGCATGCGCACCGTCCCCTAAAAAGACAGGGCAGGACCGCGTATTCCTTTAAAACCTTCCCGGAATCCAATGAGATTGTCTTTTCTTCCAACTAGGGAGGCGGCTTCTTCAAAGCCAGCTGGCGCCTCGAAGTGAAGGGTTAAACAGCATGCTTGGAGCTTATGTTAGTATGGTATTGTAACTGAGTTCGTGGAAACATGACATTGCAAGAAACCGCTTGTATTTGCATAAGATAGTGCTGTCTGCCCTGCCAGTAGGAACTGGAGCATGAAGATAAGAACAAAGAAAAATAGCATAAAAAGGTCGCACTGGAACACTACGGGGTCCGTTGGCGGAACTCCTGCTTGGGATGAGCCCGGACCCCAGCTAGCTGGTATTATTATCTTTACTTTATTTCTTTTGCTGCCAAATAAACCACAACTCTGAGAGATTCTCTTGATGGTGGTTTTGTCCTTCTCTACCGATTTGAAGAACGAACCTAACAGAAAGGCACCGCAAGGTCCAGAACCCGGAATGGGAAGCTCCCAGCACGCCCTGCACACTAGGACATGGCCGCCCGGAAGCCCAGTGACGATAGACTACAGCTGCCAGCATGCCCTGTAGACTACAACATGGCCACCAGGCGATCTGGTGAAAAAAGACTACAACTCCCGGCATGCCCTGCAGATTAAAACTGCTGCACGGAAATCCGGTGACGAACGATTACAACTCCCAGCATGCCCTGCAAACTAAAACATGGCCACCCGGAAGTTCAGTGACTGAAGACTACAACTCCCAGCATGCCCTGCAGAGTACAACATGGCCGCCCGGAAGTTCCCTAACGGAAGACTTCAATTCCCAGCATGCCCTTCAAACTTAAACATGGCCGCCCGGAAGTTCAGTGACTGAAGACTACAACTCCCAGCATGCCCTGCAGAGTACAACATGGCCGCCCGGAAGACTCGTAACGGAAGACTTCAACTCCCAGCATGCCCTGCAAACTACAACATGGCCACCCGGAAGTCCAGTGACTAAAGACTACAACTCCCAGCATGCCCTGCAGAGTACAACATGGCCGCCCGGAAGTTCCGTAACGGAAGACTACAACTCCCAGCATGCCCTGCAAACTACAACATGGCTGCCCGGCAATCTTTTGAGGAAAGACTACAGCTCCCAGCATGCACTGCAGAGCACAACATGGCCGCCCGGAAGGCCCCTAACGAATGAGTACTATTCCCGGCATGCTGCGCAAGGAAACATGGCGCCCGGCAGCGGGGTCCCGGAAGAATCCCGTTTCCGAAAGGACGGGAGAGCCGCGCTCCATGACGTCTCCCGGGAGGAGGGGCCGCGCCGCTCCCTCCGGAACCCAGGAAGCGCCGCAGAGCCCCAGCGGACGCTGCAAGAGGAAGGGGGCTCATACGGGCTCCCCTCCCTTGAAGTACCGATGTTTGGACACGCGATGGCAGCAGCGAGCACTCCCGACCGCTCTGCGCATGCGCGCTCCCCTCCCGCTTGCAGTTTTCATTTATAGACACGTGATGGCAGCTGCGAGCGCTATTGGGAGCTCTGCGCTTCTGCGCCGGCCCTTCACGACGCAGTACCGACTCTGTGACATGGGACCGCAGCAGTCATCGCTGCCAAGCGACCTTTACATTCATCCCTGCTCCCCATCATCTACTTTTGAAGTATCGGCTTTTCGACATATGGGAAGATCAGGCACGGCAGCACATGCGCATGTGCTTTCCGCGGCTAAATTTGGAGCATGCGTTCTCACTGAAAACTTCTGCGCATGCGCACGACCAAGAAGACGGGCACATGCGTACTGCGTGGCGATTTTTGCGCGTGCGCAACGGTGTCACCACTCTGCACATGCGCATTCCGCTTTTTAAAGACAGCGCATCATCCTCAGTATCATGCACATGCGCACTGACACAGCAGCAGCCGACTCTACTGCGCATGTGCACGAGGTTAGTGACACGCATGCATTTTGAGGCGCGCTACCGTGCACATGCATACTATTGCCTCAATGCAGCACATGCGCTTTCGCGGCTAAATTTGGCGCATGCGCTCTTGCCAACCACTCCTGCGCATGTGCATGACCAAAAAAAGGCGAGTACATGCGTACTGCGTGGCGATTTTGCGCGTGCGCAGCGGTGTCACCACTCTGCACATGCGTTTTCCGCTTTTTGAAGACAGCGCATGCGCCCTCATCGTGAGCGTCATGCACATGCGCACTAACAACAGCAGCCCACTCTACTGCGCATGTGCACTAGAAGGTTAGTGGAACGCATGCGTTTTGAGGCGCACAGGCGTACTTTCGCCTCAATGCAGCGCATGCGCCTTCGCGGCTAAATTTGGCGCATGCACTCTCGCCGAACACTTTTGCGCATGCGCGTGACCAAGAAGACGGGCACATGCGTACTGCGTGGCGATTTTGCGCATGCGCAGCGGTGTCACCACTCTGCACATGCACATTCCGCGTTTTAAAGACAGCGCATGCGCTCTCATCGTGAGTGTCACGCAGATGCACACAGTTATACCTGCTGCGGCACCTGTAAAAGCAGAACGTGAATAGGCGAGAGGGACGACGTCTGCCCCGCTTCATCTCGCAGATTGAGGCTTCGCTTAGTCTTGAGGCTCGCCTTGCTGCGCTCCTCTGGACACGGTCTCTTCTGTGCACATGTGGTTCCAAAGGTCCTGCTGGCTTTTGCGTGGCCTCCCCCGGCTTCCATGTGCACGTAGTCCGAGGGCCTCTGCAAGCATTTGTGCAGTCTCCCCCTGCCTCTGTGTGCACGTGGCCCCGACGGCCCTGCATCCTAATGTGTGGCCTCTCAGGGTCCTCCATGCGCACATGGCCCCTGGAATCCTGTGGGCTTTCGTGGGGCTTCCACGGGCCCATGTACGCATTTGGCCAAAGGAGCCGTGGAGGTGTTTGTGCAGCCTTCCCCACCCTCAATGCACAGCTGGCCCCAGGGGACCTGCGGGCTTTCTTCTGGGCTCTCTCAGCCTCCATGCACACTTGGCTTCAGGGGCCCTGTGGACTTTCATGCAGCCTCCCCACCCCTCCGTGTGCACGTGGCTTCAGGGGCTCTCCGGTCTTTCCTAGGGCCTCCCAGAGGCTCTGTGAGCATGTGGTCCCAGGACCCTCTGTGAGTTCTTGCACCCTCCCCCGCTCACTTCGCTGTGCTCTCTCCTTTTTTTTTTGGAGTGGACTGTTGTTCAGCTCTGCACCCTTTGTTCACCAGCCCCCCCCCCCACACACACACCTCTTCTTCCATCAGTGGGCAATTATGATTCTATGAAAGCAGAGCTCACATCCTACACCAAAATCCCTGCCGAAAAGCAGGGAGCATCTGCCTCTTGACCAGGCATTGGCAGAACATGACGAGGTCCAGCCCCTGATTTATGGATAGTGCTTCAGTCAGCTGGGCAAAAGGGATAACAAAGAAAGTGTCCGATTATTTTATTCTTCACAAGTTACATTAACCACGTAGTACTTTTTGGAGCATTTACAGATCAGTTTTTCTTGATATTAATCTTCAAGTACACCTGCTCATTCGCAGCACAGGCCTTCCCAAAAGGGCAGTTTCCATCTCATGCCCATCTGACTCCAAACCAGATGTTTATCTGCCTGGCAATAAGATCTTAAACATGCCTTTCCCAACACAATCTGAATGACTACTTTAAAAAACGATTCTGACATTAATAAAAACCTCTCTGGCTTCAGCAGTAGGGAATTCTAGGGGGGACTTGCTCAAGCTTCCTGGTCATCCAGGGAACAACACAGGCCATTTCAGAGGGCCTGGAAGGCTGCAAGTAACTCTAGAGAGCTACAAGGGCTTCTTTCCTCATGGCACACTACACAATGAGGCCTAATCATTCCTTGTCAGTCCCCCACATTGAGCCAGCAGCCACTCACTATCTTATCCAATCCAAGCAGCGTTTTCGCTCGGTCTGCTCTCTCCAACTGTCAGATGCTCTTTAAAACAGGGGTCCTCTAACCCATCATTAGCACAGTCAGCCAGGTTGATTACTCACATGCATAAAAGACAAAAAAAAAAGCAAAGAGAAAAACCTCTTTAAACATCAAAAACATAATATCTTTATCTTTCTTACTGTCCACCTCTGACTAGTTCACAGATTGGATCATTCCAACAACATAGCCATGATTACTAAACACTAGACAAGCTTTGTCAGAACTGGGAAAGAACCCCAAGAAGTGTCTCTGCAAATACTCACTCTAAAGGAGTAGCCACAAATGAGTATGTTCTACCTGATCAGTCTCAATTCCCTCTCCTAACACATTTACACAAACCTCCGCAGTGATCACCAAGCTCCTGGGGATTAACAGCATTGGCAACATTGCTACAGACCTGAATGAGAAACGTGGTGGCTCTAATCAACAGAAACCCTGTCCTGGGAGGCAAGAAGATCCGGTGATCCCCACACACTACCTTCACACAACTTGTGGCAAGATTGAATGGGGCCGGAATTAACACTTCTTTGAAGTGACACGTGGGCAGTAAAGTGAAGACATCCCATAGTGAAGAGTACACTGTTCTGAAAAAATGGGTAAAAAAATTCCCATGTAGCAAATAACATAGAAATGTAACAATACAGTTAATTTTCTGAGTTTCTTTAGAAAGGTTGTTGATGCTGGTTCATGTTCAGCTTGCTGGGTCTTCCAGAAGAAAAAAAAATGAATGGAAAGGCCAAGGGGGAGGAGCAGGGACAAAGACCAGGAAAAGAAAGCGTGAATCTGTCGTTGACATGCAGGTCACATAGTGTTTTGTTTATCCATTTTTTTTCCCCTCTCATGGACACTTCCAACTCAAGAAATGGCAACACGCACATGGCTTCCAGTTTTTAAAGCAAGTAACAGTTTCCACGGACTGCGCTGCAGAGACAGGAAGACATGTGCAAATTCAGTATTTAGGAAAATAAAGTGTCTTTCTAAGCAGTTTGAATGCTAGATAATGCAATTCACTTGCCAGACACTCAGAGGGTACATGGATATGAGGGATGTAATCTACCTCTCTGGGGCTCAGCTTTGTGTCTCTGAGGTACAGAACTAGCAGTACTGAGGCAGAGCGCTCAGAGCAGGGGAAGGCAGGCACATGGAATTGCTAAATTGAGGCATGAGTCAAATAATGCAGCTACATAAAGAAACCCACTGCAGTCAGCTGGCCACTAGCAGGAACAACCGTGCTGGTGCTAGGGTCTCACCTAGACCACTCATTCCTGCTGATCTTCGTTACTCGCACTCGGAGTCCGACTCCTAATCTGACTTCGTAGCTGCTCTATTAATTCAGGATTCTGCTGCTGCATCTGCTGAGCGAACTGCTGGCCCCTTCAGGAAAACAAGCAACAGTTTCATTAATGTTCTCTCACACAAAGACACACACCCCAACATGGTCTGAATGCTAAGGAGAATTCCTTATGGCTGATGCTCAAAAAAAATCTGCCTTAACAAACAGTTTAGCCACATTACTGAAAATGGCAGAATTTCACTCAACCTCTGTCTTCCTACGTTGTTAGATTGAGAGGTGGTCAGGAGAGCTGAAATCCCTTTACAACTGAAGGCAACAGGAATCCCCTACTCACGCTTGTATGAGGCTGGCAAGATCATTTGTGGCAGGGCTGGTGCCTGTTGCTCCCATTGGGTTATGGCCACCAGAAATCATTCCAGACATGCTGTGGGAACAAATTATTGCTCAGAGCAGGAAACACACAGAGATTTTTGTTTTATGGGGGGAGGGGAGTATCAGCATAATGAGAGCACCTTCCCACAAAGACTGTGAAATTATCTTAGTGAGGGATTTTTCTGCAACAACAACAACTTCATGAATGGCAATAGATTCTAATTGCATCATTAACCTGAACAACATGTAGAAATATTTCTAACAGTGTCAGTTGTTGCCTTTCCAAAGATTCCCCCTTTTGTGCACGAGTCCTACTTTACATTTATTTAATTAAAGAATGCAGCCCTGCCTTCCACAAGATGTTTGTTTGCTCTGCATCAAATGGGATTTACTGACAGGACAGTCTAAACACTGATTCACTCGTGATGAACAGCACAGCTCTGCAAAGCCCTTTCCTCTAAGTTCTTAGCTTACATCTAAGACAGAGCCTCAAATGGTAACAGCAATGGAAGGGGCAGGCAGAAGCAAATGAAGATGATGGCAGATGCTTAGCCTTTTAACCAAGTTGCCTCAAAATATAAATAAGAGTATGAGCTCGAGGAAGCCTCCAATTCACTTTATTCTACCTGGGCTCAGACAGAATGGTCAGGAGAGGCACAAGCCTGAAAGGATTTCACATCTCTGACTTGTTTAGAAGGCATCCAAATGCCCTATCTCCCTTCTGCAAGCATTTCCAAGACCACTGCAGTCTGGAGTGCTCAGAGTACACACGAGCTCAGGATACTGGGTTGCTTTAAAGGCTGCCCTCCACATTTCTGGTCCCGTCACCCACCTCCCCTCTCCCACCACCACAGAGGTCCAGCCCTACTGCCAAAGCCAAACACAGAAGAAATATGAGATGGGATCCAACTTACAGCTGTTGTACTTGTGGATTGTTCATTAGGTTAGATGCCTATTTAAAAAGGAAAAAAAAATGACACCCTGTTTAGTCAGAAATGCCTAGGTAGATATGCAGACGTTGTGCCATTCAACCACAAACAAACTGAAGGCAGAAAGACTTGGAAGCAAATCAACAGGACAAAAATAGCTAAGAGAAACACAGTACAAAACACAAGACAAGGTTGGTAATGCAGAACAGCCCCCCTAACGTATTACTAGGAAAAGCCTGTGAATACTTCACTGACCCTTTTGACTTTAATGAGACAGAAGCACAGTTTCCTCACAGCAACAGTGAAATCAAGAAATGAAATGAAAACAAAGCTGCTAGGAAAATAGAGGATTTTTCCAAGGCCCATATCAATACATTTCATCCTCAACAGACAAATGCACAGACCAGATGCAGCCTGGCTGTGATCTGAGTCCAAATTTACCATACTCATGAAGCCAGGGTTGTTCAGCAAACCAGCTAAATCGAATCCTCCTGGACCTCCAGTCTGTAAGTATAAAGACACCATATGCAGCTGATGAAATGCACTCACTTTCAGATGCAACAAATAGCACGTTACAGTTAGCATTATTTTAATCATTTACTTCAACTGCTATCAGCATCTGGTCTTTAAATCACAGCAAAGTTCAGAGGTTCTGTTCGTATCCATCCTGCATGAGCACAGCCCCCACGTTCATAGACAAAAAGATTCCCTAAAAGAGTCAAAGGTGCCACACCAGTGATGGCAGCGATTGTGCCGCATCATTTGCTGCACGTGCAGTACCAGCTGAGCCATGTTAGCAGGGCACAACTCTAGCCCATCACAAATGCCAAGTTAAACACATTCACTTGACCACCTTTGTGGCTGGAAAAGTCTTTAGAGGATTGAGTCACCTTCAAAACCCTAACTTGGCATGTTCCCGAGTGCTGCATGTCAGCAGTGCACAAATCACTGACTTTGTGGCTGAAAACATCTGTGATTCTTTGCTTAAAAGAAAGTGTCTTTTTAAAATCCATCAAATATTCTTTTGGCATTGCTAACAGGTCACTAGTAAAAACAGCTGAATTTTCGGAGTGACTTTAGTTAGGATGGGTGGTTAAGGCAACAAAACACTTTCAAAACACGCCTCCTGATCACTGTCATTGTCCAGCTCTTCCAAAGGAGCCCAAGGTGACTGTGCCCAAGCAGTGCAGAGGCATTATGCTCTCTGGATTTATTAGAAGTGTTCATGGCCCTATCCCAATAAATCCAACTATCCCCCTCTCTGCATGCTAGATTGCTACTCCAAAGGCGACCCAAGCCCACAAGCCTGTCAGAGCCTTTAACACAGAATGGCAGAGGTTGGAAGGGACCTCCAGAGATCATCTAATCCAACCCTCCTGCTCAAGCAGGGACACCTAGAGCGGGTGGCACAGGGTGGCAACCAGGCACGTTTTGAAGACCTCCAAAGAAGGAGACTCCACAGCCTCCCTGGGCAGCCTGTTCCAGGGCTCTGTGACCCTCACAGTGAAGAAGTTCTTCCTCACATGGAGATGGAGCTGCCTAGGTTTCAGCTTACACCCATTGCCCCTTGTCCTGTCACTGGCCACCACTGAGAAGAGTTTGGCCCCTTCCTCCCCACATTCTCCCCTCAGGTATTTGTACATGTTGATAAGATCCCCTCTCAATCTTCTCTTCTCCAGGGAAAACAGGCCCAACTCGCTCAGTCTTTCCTCATACAACAGATGCTCCATAACACAGCAGGACAGTGAAGAAACCTCCTTCTGCTCTTACATATAATAAGGACTGGTTTCAGAACTTACTGGACTGGGGGTCTCTTTCATTTTCTGTTCAGCTATTTTGAGATTTGACTTGTATGTTTCATTGTCTGGATCCAGCTCCAGGGCTTTTTTATAGTAGACAACAGCTTCTGTGTGTTTATTTAAACTGGAGAGAGCTAAGCTATTAAAGTGGAAATAAAATGAGAAGTTAAATAAGCACTTGCAGTTTTCCTCCATCCTATCAGCTGAAATACTAGGTATTTTTGTAGGACATTCCAGGACAAAACACCATGTAGTGTCACTAGCACAACACCTTTTGAGATCAAAATCCTGGCAAGAAAGACTGCTCTCTTACTTACCCCATTCTTCCGTAGGCTTTGCTGTAGTTTGGATCAATGCCTATTGCTCTTTCACAGTCTCTGACTGCTCCAGCATAATTTCCTAATTTACTGTATGCAGCAGCTCTGGAGGGAAAGGAGAAAGATGGGCATAAAACATTTATTGCCTTGAATAGGCTAAACAAGGTCACCTCTGATTCCTCACCTATCGTACATGGCAAAGTGAAGCGTTAGCTTGACATAAATCCAGGTACTTAAGCAAGTAGGTTGCTATGCAAATATCCAGCTCCACATCCTGTATCAAGGATATCATATGCCAAAGAATTTTACTTCTCCACATCCCCCCTGGGCTCCAGGGAGGCATTCATGTGTTACACCTGCTCTGCAGTTCCCTTGGTTTCTTATTCACAATGACTGTTTTGGCCATACACACCCCATAAAGTAGAAAACTGTTTAGGTGAAACCATAACATGCTCATTCAAGCCTTGGTTTTGCCCCTTATTGACACCACGACTCCTGCCCAACTCCTCAGACTAGATTTCACACAGCTCAAGCAAGGCTCAGCTACAGGGTCAGCTGGAAGCTTTGTTGATAAAATCTCATCCAAAAAAAACCCTCACCATGTCATTAGTATGTGAGCAGGCAAGTTCTTCACAAAACCAGCTGTAGATATGTACTCATGATAAGTAGATAACCAAAACAAAGACCGATTCAAAATCTGTTCTAGTCAACAATCACCTATCCACCAACTTTTACACCACAGAAAATTAGATAATTTACTTGCATTTTGCATACACATCAACATACATAATTCTCAATAAAAAGCCTGCAGTCTGTCTTTTTGCCCTTTTGTTTTCTGTTTCAGTCGCTTCAGATCTGGGCTCTTTATCTCACTTAAGAGTTGTTCACAAGAAAGCAGGCAGCACTGCTTGGCATCCTTGCATCCCATCAAACACCTAAGAAATGTTTGCTCCCATACCCATATCCTATCTAGGAAAGCCAGGGCACAGAGCTGGCAGGAGGCACAGGAAAGTGTCACCGTGAGCTTGGTGGGGGACAGAGCAAGCAACAGCACAAGCACTCTGAGGAATTCTAAAAAAAAAAAGAAGCATGAGTCTTAAGATTCAAGAAGAAGCAAAAGAATGATGCAGAAAGATATACTAAGTACCTGTTGCAAAAATATACTGCATTGGATGGGTTTAATTCAATTGCTTTTCCATAGAAAGATACAGCAGCTTCAAAGTTTTCTGCCTTCATTTGTTCATTTCCTAAAGAAACAGAACAAAGACTCAGTGAAAAGTTAAACTAGGGACAAAGGAAAGCAACGGGCCCAGATCTCTGCTGTACTTCAGAAAACAGAACAAAAGACACACCAAAGGCTTCCACTTTTTGCTAGTCCATCAAGATGCTTGCAGCTATGAGGCTCGTTCAAGAGGGATGGAGGGGTCTGTGTCTTGGCGGCTCCTGGTTACCTGGAGCCCTGTTAGTAGGGACTGCGCAAGCTCTTCAGCACCCTCAGCTGCCCTCCCATTGAGGCTGCACCTAAGGTCTCTTCACAGGAACATTTTGACCTGCAAGTCTGCTGAGCATTGGCTCAAAAAACCTCTCTCTGTCATACATCAGTGTCGATCTCGCTCTCTCACATGGTAAAGAAAAGTCAACACAGACAGGGGAGAGCTGAGCAGCAAACATTCTCTGTTCTACACAAGGTCCTTTTTCCAGATGCAAAAGGAAACACTGGCCCCGCTTTCTATCCAGGTTCTGTGGCAGTTACATTATGCCAACCTACACACCCTCCTTGAGCACGAGCAGGGAAACAAGCAGAAACAGAAGAGCTGATCCCCTTTGGTTTATTCTTCTTTCATGCACTCCCCAGGTGCCAACTGAATCAAGCTTTCCTCCCCATAATCACTTAAACCTCTTCTATACATCAGCTCTAGAGGAGGTTACCTTCAGTCTTGAGTCTTTCAGCTTCAGCTATGTCATCTTCAGAGGGGGTGACGGGCTCTGAATTTGCTCGGATGTGTTCAGGCTCCTTACAAGGAAAGGGAGAATGCTGTGCTCTAATAAGGACTACCACAGAGAAGCAGCGTACTTCTTCCCTTCCCAAGCACTGGCTTTTCAAGCCCCAAACAGTTCACTCTCCCCCTCCACGGAGCAGCACTACCACAGAAAACAAGCAAAGCTGATCCTTTTGGCTACCTGACCGGGAAGGCAACACCTTTTGAGGCACTCACTCACCTTTCCTGCAGCAGCTTCAAATATTTCAGGAAGGGTCCGAGACACAGCTAGATCTTGGTCTTCCATGGAGACCCCGAAAGCTGTCTCCAGGCACTGGATGGCAACTGAACAAGAGTCAACCAATTATCATTCTAAATACATCTAAATAGTTAGCCTTCTCCTCCTCCACAGCACTCAAGTTTACAGATGAACATACCATCAAAATACCCAAATAACCAAGAACACTTCCCCCTCATAGACTTAATATCTGTGGCATATTCTCAATTCTCTCTTCTGCAGGTGTTTTTTGACTGTGTGGGTCTGCAGGTTGCCACTGGCACAGCTAAATGAGGGCAAGATCTTACAATAACCGCAGTTTGTTTAGATGTTCTCCCAGCACCTGCCTCAAGATCAGAAAGGGAAGGTGGGGCAGGGCTGAAAAGTGAGTGCGGGTCTCCTGTGCCTGAGCTCTACGCCTCTTTACATCAAATTCAACAACAGAAAGCAAGTGAACTCTCCTGATTAGGGAGGTGCAGCAACTTCACAGACCCTCCAGTTCCTGTCGTAGAGGGGTGCTGGTTGTTATCCAGCTGGAGCAGCACACCACATCTGTTGTCAAAAACTCAGAGCTGTGCAAACACCGGCTCTGGAACAAGCCGGTCACAACTCCCATGCCCGTGGGTGATTCCAAGGCAGGTGTTGGGGGACTGGATGTCAAAACAACTGGCAACAAGCAAGAACTGGGGCTTTGATAGCATCCCCGCAGCTGTGGATAGCACACAGTGACGACCGCGCTGCATTTTAAACAAGCAGAGCAGAAGTGAGTGACTTGGCAGGCCCTGCAGTTACTTGCAAAGTGGCTGCTCTACTAAGGGGCATGGCCAGAACGAGGACAAGCCAAGCATGACTCTGGCCATAGCCACCTCCCCACCACCTCCACTCCTTTCTGCAGACACATCTGTGCTCTGCCCATGGGACAAACACACATGCCAAAGACTAAGGTATAAGCTCCTTAAGTATATCTTTTAAGATCAGCATGCTCTCATTTCTAGTAAAGCCCCCTGAAAAAGCCTTGGATAAGCACTCCAGTGTGTGCTGTGGAATAGCATTTTGATAACAGAACAGAAAAGCACTCTGCAAGTATAAAACACTTCCATATACCTCTTAACATCACCTCATCCAAGCTAAAATCTGGTAAGTCTCAGACCCAGGATCAAGGTTTTGATCCTGATTTTTGATCCCAAGGTAGATCCCCTCCTCAAGCTAATCTACTGTTGAAAGAGGAGAAGCCAGACAAATAACAAGGCTCCCAACTGCCTGGATATCTTCCTGTGGGACGAGATTAATTTCACCCTTTGACGCAAACCACAGTCCAGCCCAGGAAGACGTAGACAACAGTGACTGTGTCCCCATTGCCACAAGCGTTGGACTGACAGACTTAGAAGCGAAACGAGAGACCCCACATAACCACTTACCTTCCAAGCTCTCCTGAGCATCTGGAGAAAGACCCCCATTTTGTAGCTGGTCATGCAGAAATTGGATGATGGAGAAGGCAAGACGCTTCTGGTCTGCCATTCTGGAGACTACAATCAGCCTATTCAGGCCTCTCGTAATTAAAAATGTCTGCAGAGGAAGAAGTTACATGGTTTGGGGTACTCTTCTAAGCTACAAAAGGAAAGGATAAGGGAACGTTGTGGGACTGGCCGAAACTCTTTGCTCCAGGAGAGACATCTCCATGCTAAGCGTGCCCAGCCCCAGCTCACCCTCTTCCAAGGCAGCAACACAGCAGCGCCCTGCTAGGTGTTATGGGGACAGAGCATCTTGCAGCAACCAAGATAAAAGGAACGCAGAGGAGCTCCCCTCCCAAAGTCCTGTGTAGTTCCAACAGAGGCAACAGCAGCGGGATGCTGCAGCTGTGTGGGGAGCCAAGGCTCAGGCTCAAGGCGCACCCTCCACAGCACAGCCTGCTCAGGCCACATAGCTCCCACGGACCAGGGCGGAACACAAGGACCCCAGAGCGCAGCCCGAAGCAGCGGCTGCTGGAGAGGCCCACGCGGGTCCCATCAGGGGAAGGGGAGCGTTTCAGCTGCTGTCGAGTCCAGGGCCCTCCCTCTCCAGGACCAGAGAGGCTGCAAGGGCCATTTAACCGGGAATTCCGTCTTTGAAGCGCAGAAAACAAACCAGGGAGAAGCATCTGCTTCCCAAAGGCCCCAAAGGAAACACGACCCCGAACGGCGCCGGCGCTGCAGGCAGCGGAGGGCGGGCGAGCGAGAAGGAGTGAGGGAGGCGCCCAGCTGCCCCCGGGGCCGCAGCCCCCACCGAGAGGCCCCGCCAGGGTCCAGCTCTCTGACACGCGCTGCTGCCGCGCAGGAACCGCGGAACAACCTCACAACACCCACCCCACTCACCAGTCGCCTCGACACTAGCCTCAGCCGGGGCGGATGCCACACTGCGCATGCGCATCCCGCCCATTGCACATGCGCGCGCGCTCGCTGCCCCAAGAGGGCCGCGCGGCGCATGCGCCCGCCGCCTCCGCGGGAGGCGGGCAGAGGTGCTTCCGTCGCTCCTCACTGCCCTTTACCATAGAGAGGGAGGGGCACGTTGCCATGGAAACGTGGGGGGGGGGGCATGTGCCTTGCCGGCCAGGCCCCGCGCCCCTCGTCGTCGTCATCCCGCTCCCCTCGCTGAAACTCCGTCTGCGGGGGTGGCTCGTCCCCTTCCTCCCCCCGCTGGGGTGAACAGACCGGGAGAGCGGCCGAGTCCTCCACTCTCCCAGAATGCCTCGTCGCGGTCGCTCAATCCCGCCTGCTCTATGGTTGGGCACATGCTCTATGCGCGGGGCCGGCGCGCTGCCCTCCCGCCTCGTCAGCAGAAGCGGCGCCTCCCGGCGGCCCAGCCATGGCTCCCCCCACGGGTACAGCTGGAGGACCCGGGCCGGAGGTGGCTGGGAGACAGCGAGGACACGGCTGGAGAAGCGGGATGGGATCTGGGATGACCAAGGGAGCATGGAGAAGGGCTGGGATATTGGGGAGGGCGGGAGGGGGCCGGAATGAGGGGCTGGGATCGTGGGGGGTGAAGGGGAGGGCAATGAGAGAGGCTGGGATAGCGGGGAGGGATGAGGGGAACGGGGAGGGGACCTATGGGAAAGGGGTGGAGGTTTAGGGAGAAGGGAAGGGGTCAGGGAGGGGGTCTAGGATAGCAGCAAGGAGATGAAGGGATTTGGGGCTGCGCAGCGGGCAAGAGAGGGAGCCAGGGCAGCCGCACAAGGGCTTTGCAGGGGCTGCCGCCCTCTCTATCTCCCACTGTCCCTGCTCCTGTGTGGCCCCATGGCTAAGGCTCATGCTGTGGCCGTGCTGGCCACCCACGCTCCTCAGGGCCACGTGCACCTGCCGTGGGCGCAACACGTGAGGGAGCAGAGAGGGAGTAGGGTTTCTGTGACGGGCTTGTCTAACGCAGAGGGTAAATAGGCTGCCGTTTGGATCTGACCCTTGGCTTCCTTAGAGTTCCCTTTGCACGGGGTTCGTTTGCTGGGCCTCTGCTTTAAGTGCTTTTCTTATCGAGGTTTAGATATGCAGCTGGATTTTCCTTCCAGCTCTTGTAAGGGGAGAACACGTAACACTTCAAGCCTGAGTTCCCATCCTACGCACACAGGTAACGTTGTGAACAGCCAGTCCCCCAGGCTCTTGGCAAATCAGCTAAGATGGGACCTGACTGCGGAGCAGATAGAGACAATGGCTGCAGAGCTCACTGAGAGGACCAAGATGGTGTATGACCGGGTGGGCTCCCAGGAGCAGGGAGAAGTCTCCTATGAAAACACCCTCAAGGCACTGGCTGATGTGGAGGTGGAATATACAGGTAAGTAGGCAAAAACAGAGTGCTTGCTTTCTGGAAGCGTGCAGTTTACAAAGAATTTTTTGTGTCTGTGCTCTGCACTATCATCTTTTTTTTCTTTCATTGATTCCCTCAGCCTCAGTGCTATGATTTTTTTTTTCCAGTTAATGTTAATGCAGCTAGGTGTAACCTCAAAGAGGGGAGTAGATTTCAAACAGGACTGCTTTGACAATGGCATGGGGTCTGGAAAGAGTTATGAGATTTGAAGATTGTCTCATATCTTTATATGTCAAGGTGCATTTAGCAGAAGTACATTGTACAATGGCAGAAATGATTTGGATGACCCAGAAATCTTCACTTCTTTATGCCTAGAGATGTATCTATTCATATATCTTCTCTGTTTAAACAGAATACCTATTTTAGGGATTATGTGTGAAGTAACATAATGTGATGGCATTACGTTGGCAAACAGCACTAGAGTGCCAGCACTAGAATGCCAAAGTCCTACAATTCTCCTGCTCCCTCATGACATCTGTTGGCTCTTCTGAACATCTATGTTGCAAGGTGATTGTGTCTGTCTAGAGCAGAAGTGGGTTTGCAAGCCTCCTTTTTCCTTTATCTGGTTTATTTTTCCTTAAAAAGGAAGCAGAAAGAAAAAAAAAAAAAAGAATATCTCTTGCTAAGCAGGGATAATGTTAACTTCATCAGAATTATCAGCACTTTCTGTGGGCAAGAGAGAGCTGCTGTCTACTCACCTTCTGCTGCGGGGAGAAGCCTCTTGTCTGGAGAGGAGTGCTTTCCTGCTCAACTGTTGTTAGTGGTTTTTCAGAGATAGTGCAGGCTGTAGGTCAGGCTGTCTGTCAGGCTGTTTCCCGGTTAACACAGACTCTCCCTGCACACTCCCACTCGTGAGCAGTTGTGGAACGCACAGACATTGCCTTTGGTGTAACCTGCCTTTTGCCTTTGCAGTCCGTCGGAACATGCTGGACTTTCCCCAGCACGTCTCTCCCTGCAAGGACATCCGTGCAGCGAGCACCGAGGCTGACAAGAAGCTCTCAGAGTTCGACGTGGAGATGAGCATGAGGCAGGACGTGTACCAGCGGATTGTCTGGCTCCAGGTATGTGCTTGGGAATGTGCTCTGTGACCAACTGCAGAGAGGAAAAAGGCTCAGCATCCGAGCAGAGATCTGAAACCTCCAGGAGTTGCGGGGGGAAAAAAAAAAAAAAACCCTCTTCACTTGTCCCAGAACTTAGAATCAAATGATATTAAATAGGACGGTAGGCAGGATGGTCCAGTTGTTAATGAGTACAGAGGAGTTGGGTTTTGGGGTTCTGGTTTGGGGCTTTAATTACCTCTTTGGTAAAATGGCATTAGTAACCCTGAGCTGTCTCATTCAGGCTGGGAAATACCCTGGAAAGTGTTGTGACATCCCTGTGCTCACAGACTCTGTTTTACAGGAGAAATCAGAGAGTGCTTCCCTGAAACCTGAAGCAAAGAGATATCTAGAGAGGTTGATCAAACTGGGTAAAAGAAACGGTCTTCATCTCCCAGAGGAAACACAGGAGGTGAGGCCAAAAACCTTAAAATAAGCATCTATAGAAGAGGTCTTGCAGGCTTAATGGGACAATGTAGTGGTTAGAGCGGGCTCCTGTGGCCCTGGACAAGCTGGGTGACATCTCTGTTCCCTACTTTTCCTTTCTATTGGATGGGATGAGCAGACTGAGCTGGCTGAAGGAGCTTGAAGCTGAGTTAAAAATAGAAGAGAAGGTGAGATGAAATAAGGGTAGAGGAGGCTGCTGCTTAAACATCTGCAGCTCCTGGCAGGAGAGGCTGAGGCCTTGCTGAGATGGCTGCTTTTCTATGAGGCGTGACCAAAGAGAGCCTGTTCTAGGATGAGAGCACAGCACCTATATGCAGTTAATTCTGCAGTGCTATACTTGAATATCGTCCAACTGCAGAATAATGGGTAACTCAGCAGGGAAACTGCTGGCTAGAGATGGTGAACGGTACTGTTTGACCTGCCCTCTTTGGACTGACTTTTCTGTGTTCTTCTATATTTTAAAGAAAATCAAAGCTATTAAGAAAAAGCTGAGCATCCTTTGCATAGACTTCAACAAGAACCTCAATGAAGATACCACTTACCTGCCCTTCTCGAAAGAAGAACTAGGTATGGAGCACTCGGGCTTATGTCCCTCGGGGCCTGATTTGCACTGAAGCTGAGCCCTGCCTGCCTCAGTCCTGGCAAGGCCATGCTGAGGCTATTCTCTGCACCTGGATGCAGGGGAATGAGGGTGTTCAGTAGTGAATAGCCGTGCACCAACTGAGCTTTTTTTCTCAGGAGGGCTCCCTGAGGACTTCCTGAATTCCCTGGAAAAGACAGAAGACGGCAAGCTGAAAGTCACCTTGAAATACCCCCATTATTTCCCTCTCCTGAAGAAGTGCTATGTGCCTGAGACAAGGAGAAAGGTGGAAGAAATGTTCAATTCTAGGTGCAAAGAGGTAGGTGGCCTTGCTGCCTGCTAACGAGGCTGGGTGGCATGTTGGGTCCGGACTCCTCCATGTGTTGATGAGCTAGTGTTGGAGACAGCAGTCCTCTGTAGTGCAGGGATAGCCCATCCTACTCAGGTTGCTGCAGGAGGGAGATAGCAGCATGCAAAGACATCACAGTTGGTAGAACTAGGGAGGAAGACAAGGGTTAGGACAAGCTATGATGACAAATTTCCTTAGCCTGTGGGAAAGGGATTCCCTGACTCTGGTCCCATGAAGGATTCTGAAGGTTTACTAGGTACTGGAGTGATATATTTCAATATTTTTTCTTTACGTATTGCGGCTTGTGAGTTTTCTTGCCTATATATCCTGCTGAGCTCTTCATCTGGCTCTCTGTTGCAGGAGAATTGCTTAATCCTCAAGGAGCTGGTGGACTTGCGGGCTCAGAAAGCTAGTCTCCTGGGCTTCAGCACGCACGCTGACTTTGTGCTGGAGATGAACATGGCTAAAAGTAGCAAAATGGTGGCTACTTTCCTGGGTAGGACACTGGGCTGTGGAGGGGCAGGATGCTGCTCTTGCCATTGTGGATTAACTCTGTTTCCTTCTCTTCTCCCAGATGAACTGGCCCAGAAGCTCAAACCCCTTGGGGAGAAGGAACGGGCTGTGATCCTGGATCTGAAAAAGAAAGAGTGTGAGAAACGAGGCCTGGAGTTTGACAACCGCATCAATGCCTGGGACATGCGCTACTACATGAATCAGGTGGAGGAGACCAAGTACAGTGTGGATCAGAACCTGCTGAAGGAGTACTTCCCCATGCAGGTGGTCACCTCGGGCCTGCTAGCTATATACCAGGAGCTGCTGGGGCTCACCTTCCATCTGGAGGAGAAGGCTCAGGTCTGGCATGAGGACGTCCAGCTTTACACGGTGAAGGACACCTCCTCCGGGGAGACCATCGGCAAATTCTACTTGGACCTGTACCCACGGTGAGGCCTTGGGCGAGCCAAAGAGAGGGATGAGGGCAGGGGCAGCGGGAACAGAGCCTGCAACGTGCCTGGGGAAGGGGAGGGACTCTCCTGCTGCTCACAGATGGGTAACTGTACAGAGGGAGAGATGAGTGCCTGGGCAGGGGGATCCCAGGAGCTGTAGACATGTGTGAAACACAGCATCACTGGGGTCTTCTGCTCTGAGCAGGACCTCACAGCCCTGAGTGGTGGCCCAAAACTGGTTTTGTGGGAGCACCCACTTAACAGTTTCCTTTTCCTTTCCTAGGGAAGGGAAGTACGGCCACGCAGCCTGCTTTGGCCTACAGCCAGGCTGCCTGTTGCCAGACGCCAGCCGGCAGATCTCAGTGGCAGCCATGGTGGCCAACTTCACCAAGCCCACGCCGGATGCACCATCCTTGCTGCAGCACGACGAGGTGGAGACGTATTTCCACGAATTTGGGCATGTCATGCACCAATTGTGCTCACAGGTAGGACTTGGCTAGGCTGGCAGAGGTTTGGACCAGGGCTGGGGAGAACGCTAAAGCTGTCTGTCCTGGACACGGATCCTAGAGTGCTGGCCAGGGCTGGGTTCCAGGCAAGACCAGCCTATCTTTTGCTTGCTGTCCTCTTCCCCTCCTGTGCCAAAAGTGCAGTACCCTGTTCCAGATCACCTCCCAAGGGCTGGAAGCATCTTGTCATCTACAAACCAGGGAACTTTGCCATTCACATCCCAAACACTTGTTTTCGGGCTAATCCTGCCAACCTGCGAGCAGGGGCTGAGTCTGCTGTCTTGGGATTTGTCGCCTTTTCCCTGTCCTACTCCCCTCAGCTCTGAGCTGGCTGTGTTGACTGTCTGGGCATGTCTCTTAGGCGGAGTTTGCCATGTTTAGCGGGACACACGTGGAGAGGGACTTTGTTGAGGCACCATCCCAGATGCTGGAGAACTGGGTGTGGGAGAAGGAGCCGCTGCTGCGCATGTCCAAACACTACAAAACTGGAAACCCTATTCCTGACGAGCTGCTGGAGAAGCTAATTAAATCCAGGCAGGCAAATACAGGTGGGTCCCTGTGGAAGGAAGGGGGAGCCAGGGAAGAGAGGCTGGAGGGAAGCCAGGGTTGTGTTCCTAAGGGTGCAGCACCTTGTTGTGGTTTCCCCTGGTGTGCAGGGAAGTGCAGGTGGGCTGGGGAAGCGAAGCAGAGGTTGGGAGTGGGGAGAATTGTCCGAGACCTGTCACCTCGGAGATGCTCTTGCTCTCAAGCATGATCTCAGTTTGCTTCCTCCTGCCAACAGGGCTGTTCAACTTGCGTCAGATCGTCCTGGCCAAGGTAGACCAGGCGCTGCACACCCAAACGAAAGCTGACCCCATGGAGGTATTTGCCCGGCTCTGTGAAGAGGTGCTGGGCGTTCCTGCCACCCCAGGTACCCAGGGGTGATTTGGGATGGGGATCCTAGCCCTGCTGCCTTTTGGGGCCAGCTTGGCCCAGGAGGTTCCTTTCAAGTCTGGGGTTGAGGTCCTGCCTGGCTCACCAGGGTGAGCAAAGCAGAGTTTCTGTTTTTCACTGTCTCTGCTGACTCCAGGAAAAGCAGGGTTGAATCTATACAAAAATGACTGAAAGGTTCTTTCCCATTTCCCCTGTGATTGTAAACTAGCTGATACAGTGCCTGCCCTGATAAACTTTGGGCGTGGAGATGTTTTTCCCTGCTGTGAGCAGTCCCTGTTTGAACAGTCTTCCCAGTTAACTGTGCCCTTCTTTTGCTGCCAAGGTACAAACATGCCAGCCACATTCGGGCACTTGGCTGGCGGCTACGATGCCCAGTACTATGGCTACCTCTGGAGCGAAGTGTATTCCATGGATATGTTCCACACGCGCTTCAAGCAGGAGGGGATCATGGACTGTAAGGTAGGGAAGGACGTGCCACGTGCAATAGGAGATGCCTGGCTGTGCTGTGAGGGGCAGGGAGGTGGCAGGAAGGACAGGACGGCTGCACAGCTGGGTCAGTGGCAGGGTGTCCGTCCTCCACATGTGCCCATCTTGTCTCTCCCTGCAGGTGGGCATGGATTACAGGAACTGCATCCTGCATCCTGGCGGCTCCATGGATGCTTCCGACATGTTGAGGAAGTTCCTGGGTCGTGAGCCCAAGCAGGATGCCTTCTTGGCCAGCAAAGGACTGAAGGTAGAGAGCAACTCGCTGCCTTCAGCCTGCTGAAAAGCTGCTCCAGCCCATGTGAGTCACGCCAGCTCCTTTGTCTACACACCAGTCCTCCCAGGCCGAGCAAAACCTGGTACTTCTGTCACCAAATGCCTCCTGGGCCAACCCCCACATGGGCAGTTGTTCCTCCAGGGTCCTGAGCTCCCCGGGGGCTTCAGGAGCTGGGCTCAGCCCTACTGAGCTCCCTTGGCAGAGGGAACTGAATTGCCTTTGCCAGCTGCTCAAACCAGAGGCTGAGGCTGCCATTAGCCCACACAAATTAGCTGAACTTTGAACCTGATTTCTGCACAAGGGTGAGTTTTAGCCTCATCACTGGCTGGGGAGGAGGGTAAGAGGAGTAACCACGCCTGAATCATCATTTTAAAATCCCTCCTTTTAAGAAGTGAGACTTCCCACAGGGCTCAGCTTGTTTTGTGCCCTAGGGTAGATTTACTGTTCTGGCCACAAAGTAAACGGCCTACAAAGCTCTACTAGGAATTGTGTTCTCCCCACCTTTGGCAGCTGACAGCTGTGGAATAAAGATGAGGAGATCCCAAAGCTTAAAAACAACTGCCTTTACTTCTCCTGACCCCATGTCCTTCCTTGAGCCCTTCAACTGTTCCTGCCTGGGCAGGAACCTCGGCCAGGCTGGAGAGAGATGCATGGAACCTTGAGCCCCACTACAGATGTTCTCTGTTCCTTGGAAGCATTCAGAGGCAGCCTCGGGTTGTCCTTGGACCTGCTGGGACACTGCCCAGGCCCCTCTTGGGGCAGCCAGTTCCTGCAGGGCTCGGGTCACCACTGCCATGTGATCTCTGTCCCGTCTGAGCCAGGGTGGGACTGGAGAGGCCTGTGAGGCAAAAAAAGCAGCCGGCTTTGAACAACACAGATCCCTGGGATAAAAATATCGAGGAGGCCTTGTGCCCAGGCACGCGGCCTCTCCAGCAGCCCTGCTCCTCCCACAGCAGCGCTGAGTCCAGAGGCTGCTTTCTGGCTTTGTTCGTTTCTGGCTGACCCAAGGAGGATGCTCTGCCCAGCCTGGAAAAGGGCTTTAATAGCAAGTGTTAGGGGCAAGGGAAGGTGCAGGGGCTTCTGGCTCCCTCGTGGGTGCCAGGCCCTGCAGAGCCCCCTTTTCAGGTGCCTGCAGGATCTGGGCAGCAAACGACCCTGGCATGAGGGCCATTCTCTTCCCGTGTTCGTCCTGCATTGGTGGCAGAATCGTCCACCCGGGCTGCGGATCTCCCACTCTTCCAGGTGCTCTCAGGGAATTTTCCCTCCATTCCCACCTCTCCGCCTGCCTCAGAGTCACTCTGAGGGTTATTCAGGGCTGTGGAAGTCTCCTCTTGTCCTGGCTTGGGCTTTCGTCCCTCTGTGGACAAGTGCAGAGCTGTGGGTCTGGGGCTCTGCGCGAGAGGCACCAACTCCTCCCCAGACCTTGTCCTTCTCTGTGTCCCTGGTTTCCTGTCCCTTCCTGTCCTCATCCCTTGCTGTGTCACTAGAGCGGCTCTGGATCCCCTCCCATCACTGCTAGTTCCACAGAGCAGCAGCTGGAAGGAAACTCATCCTGAGTGCAAAGCCCCTGCTGTGCCCTCCCTCCCTTGTCCCCAAGCCCCCGGTGACATGGGAAGGCCAGCACTGACCTTCCTCGACAGTCACTTCCTGTGCTGGCATGTGAATGGCTCTGCGAGCAGCAAAGTGGCTCCTTGGTGCTCGAGGGGCAATTTTAAGCATATTCTCCTTATCGTCCACCCTCTGTTCTAGGCATAGGCGAGCGGCTGACGGGGGCACTCCTGTAGGTGTTTGTGTCCCGTCTTACTGAGCCTTCAGGGTTATTTTCCAGACCTCTCCTCCCCTCGAGGGAAGGAACGGAAGCTGAATGGGGCAAGGGTGCCTTTTCCTCCCATCCTTTCCCAGGCTCCCCCAGACTTGGCCTCTTCCTCAAAGAACTTGCGCTGTGGCTTGTGCTGGCACGGGGCGGCTCCGTGGAGCGTGACTGGGACATGAGTTTTGCAAGCACAGCTCTCCTGCCTAACCATGTGTGCGCGCTCCCTGGGAGCCACCTGGCCAGGCACAGGCAGGGAGAGGGGTCCCTTTCTTGTTAACTTCTGTTCTCCCTTCTTAAGGGCAAAGCAGTGCATGTGCCCCGGGTGCTGCTTGCGTCCCACCCTGCTTGTTCTCACGACTGGATTTTAGACGGTTCCCAGCACTAATAAAGGTTTTCGTAAGTGGCTGCTGACGCGACTCAGTTGCTACCTGGAAGGGCTGGGGATGCCAGAGGGGTGGCGGGTGACCGGGCAGGTGGCCAAGGTGCTGGCTTAGTGCGGTGCGCACAGAGCGGAGCGGGTAGCACCCAGCGAGGCCAGGGCGAGCAAAGTCCTGTGGAGCAAGAGGCGCTGACCCCTATGCAGCCCCATGTTGGGGACACAGGCTCATGTTTCCCCCCCCCAACCCTGGTGCTGTCCCCCCATCTGTGTGAAGAAGTCATGTTGCAGCAGCTGGCACAGGCTGGGTCATGCTGCAGGCTCAGGGGTGAGCAGGATGCCGAGGAGGGCACGGGCAGCGGGCGAGAGGCCGCGGGGCGGTGGGCAGCGTGCGGCCCGGATGCACTCAAGCATCTCCCGCCGCCCTGTGCCCTCAAACAGGAGGTGTCTGGCCAGTGCTGTGTACCTAGGAACTGGCAGCTCAGCCCAGGCCACGCACCCAGCCCCCTGGCCTCCCCACTTACATGATGCAGCCCAGCACCCACACGTCAGAGGCGGCCAAGTGACCCTTCCTGTCCAGCACCTTCGGGGCCAGGTAGGTGGGGGTCCCGCAGAGCGCACTGCAGCAGGGCATGAGCGGGTGCCCACAGCCACCACATTGACCCCCAGTGCCATCTGCTCGGCACCAGCTCCATGTCTCTGATTGGGTGCCCAACACAGCCACCATGCTCACCCCCAGCACTGGCCACCCAGCACCAGCTGCCATGCTAGTCCCAGGTCCCCATTTGGGTCCCCAACATGGCCACTGCACTCACCCGCTATCGCTGGCCACCCAGCACCAGCCGCTGCACTGGTCCCAGTCTCTAATTGGGTCCCAGGGTGGCCACCTTGCTCACCCCCAGCGTCAGCCGCTCTCTGCCCGCTGCTGTGCCAGCCCCAGGTCCCCAATCTTCAGGTGCATGCACTCCGTGAGGAGGAGGTTGTCTGCGGCAGGGAGAGATGAGCTGCGTGGCCAGGGGCACTTCACAGGGCCCTCCTGCCATCCCTACGCTCTCGGCTTGAGGTCCCAGTGCACGATGCCCTGGTTGTGGAGGTAGCGCAGCCCCGTGATGAGCTGCCACAGGTAGAACCGAACCTCCAGCTCTGGCAGCAGCCCCTGGGCCTGCAGCACATCAGCCAGGGACTGTGGATGTGGAACAGTCAGCTCCAGGCCTGGCATAGCTGGCAGGACAGGACAGGATGGATCAGGACCAGGCAGGGTGAGGAGGTGCTCACCCTGAGGCTGCAGAGCTCCAGCACCACGTAGATGTTGCGGCTGTCAGTGAAGTGCCCATGGAATCTGACGATGTACAGGTGGCGTAGGCAGCCGTGTAGCTCCAGCTCCCGCTGCACCTGAGAGAGCAGCGCCCAGCCCCTGGCACGGGGATGAAGACAAAGCAGCGGTGCCAGCCAAAGCCTCCGGCTCCAGTCGCCAGCCCCGTGGGATCAGCATGGGAACAACCAGAGTGTGGCAGGGAAGGGATCTCGGAAAGCTGCATTTGCTCCCCTAGGTTGGGGTAGGGGCTGAGTGGGATTCATGGGGCCATCACTCCCCTCCCATGTGTGTCTCCGTCTGTCCCCAGCGCGGACTCACCTGCTGCCACATCCCCAGCTCATTGAGTTAGGCCCGTGGGATGATTTTGGCAGCATAGACCCTGCCACTGCGCATGTCAGCAAACTCGTGGCATCGCCCGAATGCTCCCTGCGGGGTGGCCAGCGAGATTGAGCCCCACACGGATGCTTGGCTGCAGACTCAGCCCCGGAGCTCCCTCAAGGACAGTGACCAGCAAGAAACAAATGCATGAGGACCCAGGTGTCTGGGTCACACGCCCTTCCCACGGAGCCACCAGGGAGCCCAGGGGCTGCAGGCAGGTGCGGCGGCTGCTGGCCCCAGGCACCTGCACTGCTCCAGCTCAACCGCAGCATTCTCAGGCCACCATCTGCCTCCCTTTCCGTGTTCCTCCCGTGGCTGGGGGGATGTGGGAGCCCTCGGAGCGGTGCTGCCAGGGGGATGGAGGCCCTACAGGGCAGGCCTGGGGCAGCGAGGCAGTTACCTCACCCAGGAAGCGTCCACGCTTGTACAGGGTCCCACTAGCCGTATCCAAGATGTAGCCACTGAAGTCCCTAGGGCGCCTCTGGGCCATCATCTCCAGCTCTACCCAGGGCACCCAGCACCCATGCAGCCAAGGGGGCTGGTCCTGCAGGCACCAGGGCTGTAACCCCTTCAGCACCGTTCATTTGCCAGTCTCAGGTAGGGGCACCGGAGAGCAGGGAGCCCATGGGTGTTGGGGGGGGCACCCAGGCGCTGGGTGCAGGGCTGGCACCAGGGGTGCAGGACTTAAGGGAGTGCAGGACTTAGGGGAGGCTCGTCTCTGTCCCCTTCTTTGGCCCCTAAAGCCCCCAGGCCTTCCCAGCATGTCCTGCTGTTCCCCCTCCGCTCACTGGGACTAAGCTTCCCCCTGGGCACCCCAGCACCGAGAGGATCCTGTTCCACACGAGGCTGGGCAGGGGCTGCTCTGTCCCCACCATCTGCGGGACGGGAGAGGGGAAATGGGGGGCACCCATCCCACCGCTCCCCAGCTCAGGCACCCGCAGCTGGGTTGTGCAGTGGGGCTGACAGCCGGCCGCGACAGGGGCTCCAGCTGCTGTCGCCGCAACGCCCCAGTTCCCACCGCCCCTTTGCTCCGTGCGCGCAGCAGTGCTCGGTACAGCGGGAGCCGCCGGGGGGATGGCCAGCACCGGTATCGGGACAGTCTCACTCGCGGGGGCAGCCGCATTAKGGGGGGGGGGGGGCGGAATCAGGCCCAGTCGGCTGCTGCCGGGCAGCCCAGTAGCAAGGGCTACTCTGCCCTAGGGGAGGCTGCGGTGCGCGGGAGCGACTGTGCAGGGACGCCTGGGCCCCCCGTCCCCAGCAGGGGCATATGCCACCCAGTCCCGCCACGCTCACGGACGAGGCAGAAGCAACGCGGGATGAGGAGGAGGTCGGTCTCGATCCAGACCCCCAACACGGGCCCCGACGCAGCGAAACCGCCCCCATCTCGGGCCATCTCGACAGGGCCGCGGGCCCCGAAGGGTTAACGGGAGCTCGGGAGGGCCGGGCGCACCTTTGGGGATGGATATTAATATCGCAGCGGGGAGCGACTGGAGGCGAGTGCGGAGGGAGCTGCGAGGCGCTGCCGCCCCCCAGGGCTCCCCCAGGCGCAGCAGAGAGTCCCGAACGCCGAGGGGCGTCATGACTGGGCCCGCAGCGCCCCCCCGGCCCGGGTAAGTCCCTCCGCAGTCCACGTCCTGCCGCAGCCCTCCTTGCCTCGGGGAAACTGAGGCACGTCGAGGCCCGGAGCGGCGGGCGGCGCCGGCGACCAAGCCTCTACCACCGCGCCCCGGTGGGCGATTCGCCCCCACGAACCGACACCCCCTGTTCCCCGCGCCTACCCCTGGCCCCGCAAGACCCCGGAGTCCGGCCTCGGCGTCCCCACCCGCTGTGCCGCACTCCAGGCCCTGAAGCCGTTCCGCGCCAGCAAACTGGCTCGGCCGGGGATTCCCGGGCGCGCCCGACGGGGAGACTGGGGGGGTCGGCGCCGTTCGGGATGGGGGTGGGGGAGATCGGGGCGGGGGCTGCAGCATCCCTGTCCCCTCCCCTCCCGGGGCGGCACCACTGCTGCTGGGGACCCTGGACGTGGATGTCGCCACAGGTCCCCCTGGCCCTGCTCAATGCCCTCTGTTCTGCAGGCGCCGGATGCCTTGGCCAGCCCTGCTGCTTGCCTGCCTGAGCCTGGGCCGCACGCAGGTGAGCACAGCGAATGCAGGGGCTGCTTCCCCCTCAGGGATACCCCACGGTGACCATTGCCTTCATCCAAGCAGGAGGCAGCACTGGGAAATGTGGAGTGGGAGCCCGAGCCCCCGGCCAGCAGCACCTGGGGGTCCTGGGGGCCCTGGAGCATCTGCTCTAGCAGCTGCGGGGATGGTGTCGCCCTGCGCATGCGACGCTGCCTGCGGTGAGTGGGGCCCCACTGAGCAGAACATGGCTTTGCCTGGCTCTTCATGTGGGGTCCAATCTGTCACCATGAGCACCCCTTGTCTGCGTGTGCTCTCATGGTGACTTCATGCTGTAGGAGTTGCTACTGGGCCAGGCTGACTTGGCCTTTGCCAAGTATCAGCCCTGGGGCATAGAGTGGCCTGGCACAACCCTATACCAGATAGCAGAGAAGCCACACCAGTGCAGCCCTCTTCTGCCTTCCCCTGCCAGGCTGGGCCGCTCTGCTGGGAAGGTGGCAGGGGGCAGGTGCAGGGCCTAGCTGCGCTGATGCTGTCACCACAGGGTCTCCGCAGAGGAACTGTGCAGAGGGGAGCCGCGGCAGTACCGCGTGTGCCAGCTGGAGGTGAGTGCAGATGGGGGGGGCTGCGGTGGTGGCATCGCCAGCCTGTGTGACCAGCAGAGCCCTGCAGCCCCTGCGGCCCCTGTCTGCAGCCCCGCTGTGCCGCAGGGCTGTCCCCGTGGCGCCATGCCCTTCCGTGCCATGCAGTGCTCCCTGTACGACACTAAGCCCGTGCTGGGCACCCTGGCCCACTACCGCTGGGTGCCTTTCCACGGAGGTGAGTGCCGGGGCACGGCCGGGCATGGGGGCGCCGTCCCAGGGGCCCTCCATCACTGGCATCGCGCCCTTTCTGCTCTTTCCGCCAACAGCACCCAATGTCTGTGACCTGAACTGCCTGGCTGCAGGGCACAACTTCTACTATACGTTCGGGCGGGTGCTGGATGGCACCCGCTGCAGCCCAGACTCCCCGGACCTCTGCGTTGGCGGGCGCTGCCTGGTGGGTGTGCAGTCCCCAGCCCCTTTGCCAGACCCCCTTCCCTGTCCTCACTGGGCCTCTCCATGCCCTCATCCCACAGAGCGCTGGCTGTGATGGGATCCTGGGCTCGGGCGTGCAGCCTGACGCGTGCGGACAGTGTGGCGGTAGCCCCGGCACCTGCATCTTCGTGCACCGGCTCTTCCAGGGTGTACCCCCCTCCTCCGGTGAATGCTCCACTGTGCCGGCCCCTCCATGGGTGAATGCTTTGGCTCTTGGCTTCCCAATCCCTTTGCTCTGGGGCCCTGTTCCTTGTCAGATGCCCAAGAGTCCCTATCCCTGCTGGGGAATCCTGTCCTCAGTCCCATCCTGCTTGTGGCATCATCCCCAGTCCCTTCCTGGCCTCAGCACATGGCACCGGTGGACACTGACGAGGATCCATTGCTGGCACTGCTTTGCCACCTCCTCACTCAACTGTGTGGGAGCAGCCCTAGCCTAAGGTCCCCTGTCCTTGGGATGTCTCCTCATGTCAGTGTCCCATCCCTGGGCTGCACTGACTCCTCAGGGCAGTATGCCATCCCCAGGACATGTTGTCCCCTTGCAGCTGTGCCCCATTCCCAGGATATCTCCTTGGGGCAGTATTCCCTCAGCTGTGCCTGGACTCTGCCCTGACTCTGCTCCATCTGCTAGGTTATTTTGGGTACCTGAATGTGACCAAGATCCCGGCTGGGGCCACCAACATCAAGGTGACAGATAAGAGCCGCAACTACCTAGGTAGGATGCGTGGGGCCTGGCGGCTGCCATTTGGGAGGTGCTGATGGAGCAGCATGAGACCACTGGACTCAGAAGTGCTTGGGGCACCTTCCTGGGGCCATGGGGACAGGGTCTGCCCATCAGTGCTTGGCTCTGCCTTGGACACAAGCCAAGTTGTGCACAGGAGCAGATGGGAGCTGCCAGCGTCACTGGCTGGTGCCTGTCCCCTGCCTCCCCTGCCCCTCCCCACTCCATCCCCCAGCAAGGCCGTGCAGGGTCCCCAGTGTGTCACTCCCCACAGCCCTGATGAGCAGCGACCAGCGCTATGTGCTCAACGGGGACTGGTCCATTGCCTGGCCCGGTGCCTACGAGGTGGCTGGCACACGGCTGCTCTACGCGCGCGCCGCTGACGGCACCGAGAGCCTGGAGGCGCCAGGACCCACGGCCGAGGAGCTGCACGTGATGGTGAGCGGGGCCTGCGGGGGCCACAGGGACCCCCACCGCCCCTGACCCCTGCTGCTGTCCAGGTCCTGCTGCAGGAGCCCAACCCCAGGATCGAGTACGAATTCTGGGCACCCCGGCAGCACGGAGCCAGCGCCCTGCGCCAGCGCCAGCCACAGCCCCGCGGCGCCGGCAGCCCGCAGCCCAGCCCAGGCCCACCCCCGCTGTCCCCACGCTGGGGCTCCAGAACAGAGACACCACCAAGAGACCCCACTGGTCACAGCGGGACCCTCACAGGTGCTGCAGCCCTGCGAGGCACCCGGACTCCCGCATGGGTGGGAGGGGATGGGCAGGGGAAAGAGGAGCTCAGGCCAGAGGCTCCCCCCTACCTGGTGACTTTGGCACTGCAGGGCACTGCGGGAAATGCCGCACACCCAAGGGTCACTCCCAGCGCATCCATCACTTCTGCCAGAGCGACTTCGGTAAAGGCTGCAATTGGGAAGCGGGTGCATGGAATGGGACACCTGCTGCACCTCTCACCCCTGCTCACCCCACAGTTTTCCAGGCCCGAATCGTGGCCACGCAGTTGGTGGGGCAGGAGACGCGGCACGAGGTGCGGGTGCTGACACGGTACCGGCGCCACTTCCCGCTGCTGCCACGCGAGTACGTGTGGGTGCCGAGCACATGTGGGTGCCCGCGGCTGCAGCGCGGCCGCCGCTATGTGCTCATGGCCCAGCGCCATGTCAACCGCGAGCACACTCTTAACCGCATCGTGCTGCGCGCTGATGGCTACGCACGGCCCTGGTCGGTGCACGAGGAACGCCGTGTGCGGGAGGCAGCACGCCACTGTGGCCCCTCACCACCCTAACTTATTGCTTTTGTGGAAAATAAACTACATAAAAATAAGTTTATCTCCAGACTTCTTTGCCCCTCATTGCTGCTGCCCCTTCAGAGAACAGCTTCCAAGGGAGAGGGAGAGTTGGGGTCCTGCTAGGCATTGCTGCCCCCATGGATGTCCCCGAGTGCCTGTGTGACTGTACCAGATGGCCCTGATGGGGCAGCCTATGCGACCTCAGCTCATGGGCTCCCAGTTGGCGCAGGGGAGGCTCCAGGTGCAGCCAGAGCGGGGTCAGAGGAGCCAGCAGGGCCGCTACTCTATAAGAGCCCCCTTCCCCAGGGAGGGGCTTGTCCCCAGGTGGGGCTGGTTGCCCTGAGCAGGGTTCTGTGGGCAGCAGCGGAGGGCTCAGCACCAGTCCTTACGATGGCCAGCCCAGGGCAGGTCACCCCACGGGCCAAGCGGTGGAGAGTGGAGGGAACATGGAGAACAGGCTGCCCAGAGAGGTTGTGCAGTCTCCTTCTTTGGAGATCTTTAAAACCTGCTTAGATGCAGCCCTCTGCCACGTGCTCTAGGTGACCCTACATGTGCAGCGGGGTTGGACTAGATGACCTCCGACGTCCCTTCCAACCTCAACCATTCTGTGATTCTATGATTCTATGGGGATCCTGGAGCCCTCTACCAAAAGCCAAAAGCCAGCAGAGATGGAGAGAGGGCGGCCGAGGTGAGGAGGTTTGGGGGCATCATGGCGGGGGGTCATTGCCCATCATGAGGTGACAGAACCTGGGAGCTGCACTGCCCTCCTCGCAGCCCCCAACAAACTTGGGCAGGGTCCCCTGCTCCTGCAGTGGCTCTGTCCCGAGGGCCATGATCTGGCCCCTCAGCACCACGGGGAGTGGGGGGGCTCTGCATCAGCCCTCGCCCTGAGGACAAGGAGGAGCACGGTCCGTGCTCCCCTGCCAGAGCCCCCCCATTGGGGCACCTACTTCTCTGGGGTCCCTACATATGAGCAGCAGGACACAGGCTGGTGTTCCCAGCCTGTGAGTACAAGGAATCGCAGCCATAGCCCCCAACCCAGCAGCCCACTCCTGAGGGGAGGACTTCCTGAGGACTCAGCCAGTGCCTGGGAGAGCAGCACACACTTCCCGCAGAAACTGCTCAGGCAAGCACTAGCCCTGAGGGGCCAAGGATGCTCAGGCACATCCAGTTTTTCTACTCTGGGCCAGGGACTTTGAGACATGCATGAGCTGCTTCTTAATCTCTCTCCAGTTCCAGGTGGTTGTGGCATGGATCCCAGAGCGTCCCTTGGGGCCTGAGTGGGGCTGGGATCCCCCCAGGAGCAGCTCTTGGACACATTCCCAGCAAATCCCAAGGGAAAAAGGCCGCTTGCTCTGCACCAATCCTGGCCTCTCTCACTCTGTAGGGTCCTGCCGCTGGGCTAGGATTGGGATTACATGTTTGCACTGAGCTCCTGGTCCTTCGAGTTCTGCGCCTGTCCCGGCTGTGCAAACTCACTGCACCCAGTGAGCCCCTCGGTGCTGGTGCAGCCCGGGCAGGCCTGGCGCCGTGTGGGCAGGAGGAGGCCCGGCCTCCCGTGGAGGGCCCCAGCTGGCAGCGCTCCCTGATTGTCCCAGCCCCGTTGGGGCCGCAGGCTGGGGCCGAGCACGTCTGCCCGGGCGCCGCAGCCGCCTGGGGCTGCTCCGGAGCAGCCGTGTGCAGCTCTGCTCTGCATCCCCTGCCAGGCAGCTCCTGCTGAGCTCATGCTGGAGGCGTGGGATGTGTTTACCCCAGCTCAGCTGTTTGGAGGGAAGTCACATCTCCTCCTCCTCCTCCCCCTGTGCCTGGGAAAGGGCGTATGACTCCTGCCCTCTTCTTCGATGTGCAGCCTAGCCCTGCTGCAAATAGCTCATTGCTCGCAGCAGTGCGTGGCCTCCACCAGTGCTGGGCCCTCCTGGCATGCTCCAGCAGCCAAAGGGACACAGGGGACAGCGGGCAGGAAGGAAAGTCACCGTCTCCAGCCCTGTGACACATGGGGCTGGCATGGGGTAGGAGCAGCAGGTAAGGGATGTCACCCTCATCTTTGCAGCAGGAATGGCAACAAACAGTTTATTGGGGGGCATCCCACCCATGTCCCTGGAGCTCACATGTGCATTAGCTGGGGCTGCGGCCGCTCTGTCTCCATCCCACTGGCTCCATCAGCTGCACACAGTGCATGAGGTAGAGGACGGCTGCGAGCACAGGGCTTGAGCAGAGGAGGCTCAGCAGGCTGAGGTTGGGATACAGCTGTGCAGCCCAGCCCCGCACGGGCGAGCAGGAGTGCGTGCGCTCGTCCAGCACGCAGGCGGGTGCGCAGGCCGTGCAGTTGTTGGCCGAGGCACCCTGGCACGTGTAGCAGGACGGGTGGCAGTGGGCACAGACAGCGCCTGCACGCGGGGATGCAGCTCTGTGCGCATGGCCATAGTAGCGTGGGGGGCAGTAGGAGAGACACAAGTGCTGGTAGGCGAAGAAGGAGTTGCCACACTCTAGAGAGGGACATCAGCATGAGTGGACACCTACCATCTCACCCAGGTGCTGCTGACAGCACGGTCCTCACATGCACAGGGGGACACCCCTCATCTCCCTGTGGGTGACACGGGGCTCTGTCCAAGGTGGTTGGGGCCTGACAGGGCAGCACTCACCCTTGCAAGCTCCCTGTGCGTTCCACTTCACACACTTGCTCACAGTGGGGGCCACTGTGCGCCGGCCCCTCATGTCTTCGTCAGTGCCATGGAGGTGCAGGACGACGGTGCTGAGGATGCCTGCAGGGCAGGAGACAGGACAGTGTGGAGGAGAGTGCGGGGGACCTACCCTGCCACGTGCTGCCCATGGAGACCCTTAATACACGAGTGAATGTGACCCTGCCCATCCCAAAACCTGTCAGAAAAGGAGGATGGGGTCAGTCCTAAGCCTGGCAGGGAGCAGGAGAAAGGCAGGAATGAGGTGCTGATTAGGGGAGGAAGGAATGACCAGGCTCTGAGTGAGCCCAGGAAAGGTGTCTCTGCCCTGGCTGCTCACCTGTGTTATCAGCATTGCCCTTGTTCTCTAGCAGGAGGGTCCAGGTGCCCTGGGGGTCCTCATCCCAGAAGTGGGTGGACATGAATGTCCAGTCTTTGTAGCCCTCTTGGCTGGTATCATAGGGGCTGGAGGGGAAGAGCAGCGAGCAGCCAGGCTGGTGGGGAGCCGCACGGTCTGCCAGAGTTCCCAGTTCTTGGTGTAATGGGGCTGTGCCGGGATGTAGCATGAATTGATATGACTGACCCCTTCCCCCATGGGGCCAGAAGCAGCCGTTCTGCTGTGGGGTTGGGTCTTCTGGCACTGGGACAGGCTCAGAAGAACCCGCTGCGCCGGGCAGTAGATAAGTCTCTGCACCACAATGTTCCCGTTGCAACCTGCGTCCCCATGACTACCTACAGGACCCCCTCACCGCACGGCCACCAGCGTGGATGTGGTCCCCATGGGGCTGCTGAGAGTGATGGCCAGGTCCCCTCTCCTGCTGTAGCTCAGAGAGAGCTGGACCTGGACGTGCTCCAGCGAGCGGATGCCCTTGGTCCTCCCGGAGCAAGAGGAGGCATTCACAGAGATGGAGAGCTTGGAGCCTATGTCCCTACGGGGCACAAGGCAGAGGTTAGAGCTCCACTCTATGGACATCCTGCCCTTCAAACCATCCAGACCCTGGGAGGGGGTTTCTCCCTGTACCTGGGCGTGTGAAGGGCCTTGACCGAACACTTGCGCTGGGGCTGAGTTCCTGTCCACTTCTTGGCCAGCTCCACCAGCAGCCCGGCATCCAGCAGCCCATAGCCGTAGTGATGACTCACTGAAAGGCAGAGGCCACCCAAGACAAGACACGAGACCCATGACATAAGAGGACCGGGGTCCCCTGCCCCAGAAACACTGGCAAACATCTTAGGGAGCCCCGTGTCCTCCCATAACTGTTGGAGAGGCAGTTAGAAGTGTGTGGGATGGGCACCAGCTGATCATCCACTCACCCTTGCGTCCCACCCCGTTCACAGCCCAGTCTTCTGCCTGCAGATGGGCTGGTTTGGAGGCCCTGACCACGAGGTGCTGCATGTCCCGCCACGACAGCGCTGGGCTGCAGGCAAGGAGGGCTCTGGGGCAGTGCGCTCTATCTGAGACTGGCTTTGGAGGCTCAAAATTTGGCTCTTCTGACTCTTGATATTGGATAATTATTGGGGGGGGAGGGGACGACACCAGCTTGGACCACAACACAAATTCCCTGATTGCCAAAATGAGAGGAATGGGCACTGTCAGAGGACAACTCTTGTCCTGTCCCCGTCCCCTCTCCAGGGGAGAATGGGCAGCTCCCAGCACTCAGGAAAGCTCCACTGTGTGTCCCAAATGCGCCCTGGGCTGCAGCATGGGGCAGCCACCTCAGTGGGACCTACTTGGCCTCCAGAGCCAGGGCGATCATTCCGGCAGCCAAGGGGGCCGAGGCAGAGGTGCCTGAGTGCCGGTCAGTGCAGTGGTGGTGCAGGTCCGTGGTCACCTGTGAAGGAGAGAGGGGATCTTGGTGCAGCCATCGGCTGGGGGCAGGACTGGATCCCATCAGAAAATGCTCCCTCGGGTTCTGTTTTCCAGCTCCTTTCATGCTTTCAGTGCAGATACTCCTTCTGTGCAGGTACTTTATTAAAGCCCCCTCTCCCTGTGCAAGTGGGAAGGGTCCTGGCAAGCCCGTTCTGCGCTGGAATCTCCATGGGGGGAGCTGGGAGGGGGTGACTCACGATCTGCTTCTCGCTCCTCATGCCGCTGCTGTAGGTGGTGGTGAGCGTGGAGGAGCAGGCCTCGCTGTACCAGGGCACGCGGCCGCTGGCGGACGCGCTGCCCACAGAGAGCGTGTAGATGCTGTTGGTGTAGCCATCGCAGTTGCAGTCATCGTGGTGCAACCCACCGTTGCCCGAGGCCCAGACAAAGAGCGAGCCAAGGCCACCTCGTCCCTGGCAGAGAGATTGGGAGCTGGGAATCCTCCTGTGCGGAGTGCTGAGACGCAGAGCCTGTGCGCGCAGGGATTCCAGGCCTCGCTTACAGTGGTGACCCCCTTGAGGAAGGCCTCCCTGGAGAGCACCCCTGGCCCGTCCACAGTCTTCCCATCATCCTCAGGGCCCCAGCTGGCGCTGTAGACGTGGATGTGCTGTGGGTGGAAGCTCAGAGACTGAGCCTCCACAATGTCAGTAATGAGACCGTCTAGCATCCGCACACCTGCAGGGCAAGGAGAAGATGGGTATGATGGGCAGTGATGCCCTGGGACAGCTCGAGCAGGGCACGAGCATCTTGTGGAAGCCCCGGGACAAGCAGGACGGCCCCGGCTCCACTTCCAGCATGCCGTGGGCACCTTTTGCATAATCCTGCAGGGCCGCAAGTCCATCCCCAAGGCTCCTTGCTAATCCCAGTTCAGCAATTTATCCCAGTTTTCAACCCATTTACCACACATGCTTTCTCGGGGGGACTCAGCCTGTGCAGGGCTGGTGCCACCTGCCACAACCTTCCTCTGCAGAAGAGGCAGTAACTCCACGCACCCAGGCAGTCCTGCAGAGCAGCCCTGCAGCCGCTGGGCCTTGTGCTGCTGCTCCCTCTGCTCTAACTGATCAGCACCCTCTAGTGTCCTGCAAGCCTTGAGCTGCCTCTAGTGCAGGGGGAGCTCTTGATGCTTTTACACATGTAAAGCAAGTTCTGAGATGCAGTTTAAACGAGATGCTACAAGGCTTGAGTTCAAGGGCCCGATTTTGCAGAGCTCTGACTCCTACAGGTCCCCTTGTCATCCACAGAGTGGTGACAAGTGTGGCAGAAACCCTTTCCAACAAGGATATTGCAGTGCTGATGCGGCTACGCTGCTCACACAGAAGCCAAGTTGTCTTTGCAGCCTTCGGATGGCGATGATGCAGTGCAGCCAGACAGGGGCTCACATCCGCATGCTACTCCAGGGCCTTGGAGCGCATCCGTAACTCCCATCCCTCCGCATGCCTGCAAAGAGGGGTAACTGCTCACCTCCAACTTTAGCGTTGTACGCAACGCCTGCTCCGCAGATCCGGTTGTTGGCTACAGCCGCCACTTCCCCAGCACAACGTGTGCCATGCCTAGGGGGTACAGTTAGATTGTGATCAAGCCACAGCGAAGAGTGAAAGAGTCTGGAACAGCCTCAGCCAAGAGAGATAAGAAATACCCAGCCCTGGGTGGGGAGGTTTGTCTGGACATCGAGCCAACAAGCTCACCGGTTCTCATCCCACATGGTGTATCTTGGTTGGGGATCAGGGTCGTTGCTGTTGAAGTCGTAGCTTGCAAGCGGATCCTGTTGCAGAAAGGGTCACAAGCCTGAGAAACTGCATTAAGGAGCTGCTTGTTGCAGCCTCCCTGGCACTCGGCCCAGCCTCCGCGTCCCACTGCCTCCCGGAGAGGCCACTGGCTGCTTGGAAATGTTTTGAGACAGATTTCATTGTATTGGTGTGACTCTGCACATCACGGTGCTGATTCTTAGCACCTGGGCTCACATTCCTGAGAAAACATGCCAGGGGCTACGGGCGAGTCTAACCCAGCTCCTTTAGTGAAGGTAGCAAAGGGGAATTAAAATACTGAAACTGTGTTTTTATAAGCAGCTGATTAAGATTCCCCAGTTCTCTTTGCTTTCTCAGCACGCAAGGGCTCATAAGCATTGTTTTGCAGCTTGATCTGACTACATCTATTTGAGGGCCTTGAGCGTTGCCTTTACAGATCACATGGAGTTCTAATGCCTCCTCCTTGTTACAGTGAGGATCCCTTGTGACAAAACTAAGACTTTTGTTCCAGTTGCAGAGAGGCCAAATGCCCAGGGTGAGGGGCCACCCGCTGCCTTCGTTACTTAGCCCCAGAGGCAGTAGCTGGAGTTACGTAGTTAGCAGCCAGGTCTGGATGGTCCTTCTCCAGGCCGTCGTCCAGGATGGAGAGCACGACCCCCGAGCCCGTGTACCCTTTACCCCAAGCAGTGAGGACGTTCAGGTCCGGCCTGACATCGTTGTTCTGGAAAAGAGACTAAAGCTGCTTGGCCGGGGCCGCTGTGGCAGCAGCCTGCAGACATCCCTCAAGTGTCCTTCACTGTGTCCCTGCCATGTGATTAGCCCTGCTTACGGGCCAGGGGACGATCTGCTTGGGGACAGCGGGATTAGGAGGGTGAGCTGGTAAGGCGAGGGCAAAACACTCACCATGTACCACTGCTTGTGGAACCAGGGGTCCGTGGGCACCTGGGGCACACTCCGCTTCACACGCTTCTTCAGGGTCTGCTGCTCGAACCAGAGCACCTGAGCAGTGTGCGGGCATCAGGCTGGCATGGGGGCTCCCCCAGCCCCCTGGCCATGCCTGGCACTTGCTCCGATCATGTAGTACGTCCGGGTGCATCTTGCACCTTCCCACTTGGGTGTTCAACCTCAAAAGGAAGAGAAGATGCCCCCGCTGCCCCTCCTTGCTGGCTGTAGGGCCAAGTGTTAGCCTGAGCCAAGCTGCCTTGATGCCCTTGTGGTCTCTCCATCCCGCGATCTTATCCCCGCTCTTGTGGCGTACTCAACAGCCCTGGTGCTGTCTTCTCATTACCTGCGGCTCCTTCTTTAGGCGCATGTTCCAGCCGCCGTGCATGTGCAAGGACTGCTGCACAGTGCCACGGTGCCTGAAGTGGTAATAGGGCTCCCCCTCTATCACCTGCAGACACAAGGGACCACATTGGGGTCCATTTCACAACAAGCAGCTGGAGTTGGGCCACGCCGCCTGCCCAACACAGCTTGGAGAGATCAAAAGGAGATGTTTAATGGCTGAGGGGCTCTACGATGAGCTCGCTCAGCACCCTATTGCTCCAGTTTCCTCCTCAATTTCCATTTGCAATTGCTGCAGCATCTGCCCTTGCTCCCATGGGGAGGGGTCCCTGCTTTAACGTAGACCTTGTTGAAAGGCTCCTTGCTGCCACTGCATGGAGTGGGAAGGCTGGACTTGGGGTGCTGGGCCTGAGATGGCAGATGGGAACCAGAGGGGCCTGGCCCCAGAAAGGGGACAAGTTGCCAGGTTTAGGAAAAGTCCTAGAGGGAGGACCAGGTTCCAGCTGGGGGCACGAGTCCCATGAGAGGATAGTCCTACACACTCTGATGCGGTGACAAGCCCTGGGTAGTGGGGAGACAGGCCCCAGATGAGAGAAGGGGAACAGACAAATCGGGGGGACAGACCCTACAAGAGGGGAAGGAGGCAGTTAGGTCCCAGATAGGGTTCTAGGACTCAGATCAGAGGACAGATCCCCAGTAAGGGCTCAGGTCCCAGATGCAGGTTTGGTTCCCAGAGCAGAGGGGACAAATCCCAGGCAGGGGTCAGGCCCCAAAGGGGGCAACTCATCCCAGATCTGGGGACAGGTCTCAGATGCAGGACGTGTCCCAAATGGGGAAAGAGGTTCCAGCTGGGAGACAAGTCCTGGATACAGGACGCATCTCGGGGCTCCATCCCCCCTCCAGCAGCCCCCCAGCGGTGCCGGTGGCGCTGCTCTTACCGGGCCAAGGCAGAGCAGTCCGCGGCGGCGGGCGAGGCGCGCGGCCCCGCGCGGCCCCGCGCGCACCGCCCAGCTGCTCAGGAAGACGCGCGGCGACAGCGACGGCGACAGCGACAGCGACGGCGACAGCGACAGCGACGGCGACAGCGCGAGCGACAGCGCGAGCGGCAGCAGCGCCGCCGCCATCCCCACCGCGTTGCCCTGGCGACGGACGCGCTGAGGGGGCGGGGCCATCCCCGGCCCCGCCCCGCATTGGCCCGGGGAGCGGCGCGGGGACCGCGAGCGGGAGCGGGAGCGGAGCGGGACGGAGCGGTCCCTGACCATGGGCTCGCTGTCCCAGCGCCTGCAGCGCCTCCTGGAGCGGCCCGGGCCGCTCGCCGACCTCTTGGGCCGCCTCGAGACGCGCACGGGCGTGCGACGCCTCTACCTGGCCTCAGGTGCGCTCCCCCCCATGGGGAGACCTGCCCTATAGGGGCTCCCTGCCCTACAGAGATACCTGCCCGCAAAGAGACCCTGCCCCTATAGAGACATCTCCCCTATAGAAAGACCTGACCCCTGCAGAGTCCCTGCCCTCAGAGACCTGTCCTATAGAATGTCCCTGCCCTATAGAGAGATCTGCCTTATAGGGGCTCCCTGCCCTATAGACAGATGCTGCTCTATATAGAGACCCGCCCCTGTATAGAGACCCTGCTCCATAGGGGCATCCTGCTCCATAGGAGCTCCCTGTCTCATAGAGAGTCTCTGCCCCATACAGTCGCCCCACCCTATAGGGACACTCCTGTCCCACAGAGAGACCCTGCTCTATAGAGAACCCACAGCCAAACAGGGCCTCCCGTCTCATAGGGAGCCACCCCCCACCCCCGCCAGAGAATCTTCACCCTATAGGGACTCCCTGCCCCATTGAGAGACCCTGCCCCATAGGGTTTCCCTGCCCAGTATGGGTTCCCTCTGCCTCATAGGGGTTCCCTCTGCCCCACAGGGTCTCCTCTGGCCTCTGCCCTAGAGTTGTGGGGTCCCTGGGCTCCCACTGGGGTGGGTGGTTGTGGTGTGGGGGGGGCTCCTGCCGATGGCACCAGCACTTCCTGGCTGCACGATGGGTTTCCCGATGGGATTGCATCAGAAACCTTGGGTCAAGGTGGGCCGGGGGCTGCGGTGACAGTGCAGCGGCTGCAAGCAGCCTGCGCCCGGGCAGAGGTCGGCTCGTTAGCCAGATCCTGTTTGCTCATTAATGAGAAACCTACTGTTATCTCCCCGTGCTGCACTGCCTTTGGGCACCTTGTGAACCTTCCTCAGGTGATGGCTTCTCCTGGCTCTCCACCTGCCACCTAGCTTGTTTTTCCACTCTGTTTCGGAAACACGTGTGTGAACGGGCACATGTGGCCAAGCTGGTTGTGCTTGGGAGCAATGCCGGGTGCTTGGTTCTCTTCTCGGGAGCATATTCCAGGGCTCCGGTTATGCTCGGACACATCTGCATCACGTGCGGGTAGGAAAGGACGGAGACATAGTTTGCTCCACAGACCTGGCACTTGTGGTTGTGCCATCCGGGAAGAGCCCTGTCCTGCTCTGGCAGCCCCTAAATCCCATGCTTGGCACGTAGGAACTCCCTGAGCCTGTCTGCTAGCTTCCTTTGAGGGAGGTGAGCAACCGCTCTGTGGGAACCACAGGGAAATGCTGTTGTTCCTGCTTTTTACCTTGGAAAGACCCAGAGTCATCATGGTGCCCAGCAGGGGGGGGCCAGGGAGAGGAAACCCTGCCGTGCACAGATCTGGAATAATCTGACCTTGCAGACAGGCAAGGGCTTCCTCTAAAGCCACTCACAGGTGGGGCTAAGCCCTGGCTTTGCTGCACGCTGCGGAATAAGAGGCTCTTGCATATGGAGCCGTGTTGGGAACAGGGTGTGTGGCAGCTCGGACATGACCGCGAATGTCCTTCCCGTGGCTGTGTCTGGGTCAGCTCTTGCCCGGTGCCTGTGCAGGCAGGAGCAGCCAGGCTGCAGGGATGTGCAGGCCCCAGTGCTAGGAGGAGAGCCCAGTTTGCACATGAAGGCTCCTTCCCATGGGCAGTTTTGGCAGCAAGGGGCCTGCAAATTCCCTCCTGTGGGCCAGAGACTGGGGAAACTCCAAACAGTCAAAGTCCTGGCTTGCTTCCATTTATCTTAATGACTTCATTTACTAAGAGGAGAGCGGGCTCGGACTATACTTCTCAGAGGGCTGAGGGAAGCAGGGCCTGTCCCAGCCAGGCACATCTGCCAGGCTGCTCCTTCTCCTTCTGTGGCAGTGGGGCTGGCATCGCGGTTCCCTGGCTCGTCCTCGTGCAGTGTCCCAGTTGCGGCAGCTCTGGGTGACTCTGAGCTCAGCAGGGCCGGAGCAGTGTCCAGAGGGGCACACAGCTCCGCGGAGCCTTTGGCTTCTGCGCTGCGGGCTGGAGTGTTCGCATCCCTGCTCTCCATCTCGGGTCCAGGACGGTGTGTCACAAGCTCTGAGTCTTCTATGGAAACATCTCTGCCAGCTCAAGCCGGGTCAAATGGTGGCAGAACCAGGTGCTGGGGCATCTACAATGCCAACTGCACTTGGCCAAGTCCCTAGGTGCAGACAGATGTTCCCTCGGGAGCAGGGACTGCACTGGGCTGCCGGGGTGTCCATGCAGCCACTCTGGGTACATGTGGAATGTGACACATGCAGGATGCTCATGGACCACAGGCCGCCCGCACTGGCTCTGCCCAGCTCCACTCTCATGTCTCCCCTGGCCCAGGCTCCATCGCCTTCCTGGGGCTGTACCTGGCATTTGGCTACGGCGCCGCACTGCTCTGTAACCTCATCGGCTTCGTCTACCCCGCGTATGTCTCGTAAGTGCCTGCACTATGGCCCTTGATGCCTTCCAAAAAGGAATGTGCTGGAAAGCGGGGCAGAGCAGTGCCAACTGGGGCCCTTGTGTCCCCGCAGCATCAAGGCCATCGAGAGCTCAAGCAAGGAGGACGACACCACGTGGCTCACGTACTGGGTGGTCTACGGTGTCTTCAGCGTTGCTGAGTTCTTCTCTGACACCTTCCTCTACTGGTTCCCCTTCTACTACGCAGGGAAGGTAACGGGCGGCCAGTCAGCATAACACTGGGGAGGGGTCATGGCTGTCCCTCGTGACATGGGGCAGTGGCCAGTCTGATGGAGGGGCACATTCATCCCTGGTGACACAGGAGTTTGCACCCATCCCCAGTTACACATTGGGGGGCCATGCCCAGTCCTGATGACATGTGGGGAGTCGGTGTGACACAGGAGGCCTTGCCTGTCCCCAGTAACACATGGTGACCGTGCCTGTCCCTGGTGATGCAAGGAGGCCATACCTGTCTGTGGTGACTTGGGGGTAGTTGATGTGACATGGAGGCTGTGCCTGTCCCCAGTGACATGAAGTGGCAGTGCCTGTCTCTGGTGTGGCAGGGGGCAGTGGGTGACCCGCAGATGGCTGTGCCCTGTGGAGAAGGGCAGTGGGTGACCCGCAGGGGTGGCCGTGGCCATATCTGGTGGCGCGGGGCAGTGGGTGACCCACAGGGGTGGCTGTGTGCGCTGACACGGCTGTGCCCGCAGTGCGTGTTCCTGCTGTGGTGCATGGCGCCTGGGCGCTGCAGCGGCGCCCAGCTGCTCTACCAGCGCCTCATCCGGCCCTGCTTCCTCAAGCACCACCACGCGCTCGACGCCGCGCTCGGGGCCCTGGGCACCCGCGTGCTTGATGCTGCTGCGCTTGTCACCCGCGAAGGTAGCACACCCATGGGCGACCACACCCCCACATGTCACCGTGTCCATGTGCCCATGTTCCTATGTCACTGTGTCCATGTCCCCCATCCCATCTCACCATATCCCCATCCCATGTCTTTGTATCCCCATGTCCTTGTTCCCCATCCCGTGTCCCCATTCCATGTCTCTGTGATGTGTTTCCATCATGTCCATCTCTGTCACGCGTCACCATGTCTTTGTCCCTGTGTCTATGTCCTTGTCTCTCATCCTGTGCCCTGTATCCCCTTGTCCCATGTGTCCCTGTCACATGTCACCATGTCCATGACCTCATCTCCCATCCTATGACCCCATCACGAGTTTCCCTGTCACCATTACCTGTCCCATGTCTCCATCTTGCATCCCTATGTTTGTGTCACCACATCCATGCCCTGCCCTGCCCTGTGCTTCCGCATTGCCATCCCGTGTCCCCATCCCATGTCCCACATCTTGTGTCTGTATTCCCACGGCTTGTCCGTGTCCCCATGCCCTGTCCCATGTCCCCACCCCACGCCCGTGTCCCGCGCCCCGTGTTGCGGTGTCCCCAACGCTCCGTGTCTCCGCAGTGCTGCGCGCCCTGGCCAGCAGCCGCGCCCGCCTGGGGGCTCCGCCCCGCCCCGCCCGCAGTGCCAGAGCCCGAGCCCGCGCCGGGGCCGCCCGGGGAGGCGGGGGAGAGCGTGCTCCTAACTCCGCCCCCTCCCCTCTTACCCCGCAGCCGCTGCCGAGCGGGACCCGGCCCCGGAACCGCCGCGGGACGAGTAAGGCGCTTCCGCCCCTACACCACTTCCGGGCACGAAGTGGAGTGGGGGACGTTACGTAATAAAGCCCCGGGCCCGCCCCCGCCGCTGCCATGTGATCCCTGCGGGGGCGGGGGCGGGAACGGGAGGGTATCGTCATGGCAACACGAGGAGGGGGCGGGGCCTGGCGACCGTGACGTGGCAGTGGCCCTATAAAGGCGTGGGGCGAGGCGGAAATGGGTGCGGCCTCTGCGCTACGGCGGGAGAGGGGCGTGGTTGCTCCGGGGTGGTCACGCGGGTCGCGTGTCTGTCTTTGTGGGGAGGGGCTGTGCAGGGAGGTCTGTTGGGGGACGCGGCGTGCGACGTGTCTGCGGGGGGGCCGTACGGACCGCTCTGCCCTGCGCGGGGGGTTCCGTCTGTCCTAAGAGCGCGGGAAGCCGCTCGCTCTCTCCGGGAGTGGGCGGGATTTCCGGGCGCTCGGGGGGGAGGCCCCTCTTTAGGGGGCGGGTCTACGTGTGGGCCGCGGAGCGGGGCCCCGAGGGCGGGCGGGCGGCGGTGCCGCCATGAGCGCCAGGGCCAGGCGGGTGCTGCCCACGCGGCCGCGGCCGCCGGGTGCCGAGCAGCTGCGGGAGGACGTGAGCGGCTCGCGCGCCGCCGACCCCGTCCTCGCGCCACCCGCCGAGCCAGCAGCGGCGGGCGGGGAGGGCGGCGGGGCCCGCGGCGCCGCTGAGCCGCCCCCGGCCGCCTTGCTCGGGGCGGGCGCCGCCGAGGGCGTCGAAAGCCTCTTTGGGCAGAGTCGCCGCTACGTGGAGCTCAATCAGCGGCTGCAGGAGAGCGGCGGGCGGCTGCGTGCAGGCTGTGAGGGGCTGCGGCGCGCGGGCACCGCGCTCGACCTGGGCCTTGCGCGCCTGCGCCGCAGTGCCTGCTGGGGCCTCTCGGGCCCTGAGCCGCCTGCGGCCTCGTCCTGAGGCCCCGGGTGCCCCTGCTCGCGCCTTCCTGCGCCCCGGCACCATTTGTGCGCTGCTCGCTGCATCCCTCACTGCCGCCGTGGCACCTTCGCGGGCCACGTGGATACAACGTAATTGGTGGTGCTGCCCTTGTGCCCCAGGCAGTGGCATGTGCGCATCCCAGTGCCACTGCTTCTCCTATGACTTCTCTGTCTGGTACTGCCCCCAGGACGGCAGTGTCGCCTCAGACATCGCAAAGGTCCTGGAGCAGGAGGGATTCCGGGGCTACATGGAGCACCAGGACCAAGCAGCCGGGACGCCCCTCATCCTGACAGCTGCGCAGGTCATTCAAAGCAGCCGCGTTGCCATCATTGTCCTGTCCAGCTCATCCCTGGCTGACCCCTGGTGCCAGCGAGTCTCCGAGTGGAACCTGCACCGCAACCTTCATGAATCCAGCACCAAGGTTGTCCCAGTGCGCGTGGGCATCGAGAAGGACAAAATGCCCCTGGTTCTGCAGCACCTCACCGAGCTGGACTATGGAAACAAGTTCTTCTGCAAGAAGCTCGTGGATACCTTGAGGAAACCATAGTTTCGATCGGCACCCGCAGTTTTCGTGTTCTTGCAACGCAGCCAAACCAAGTGCCGCACATGGCGGGGGAGGGGGGTCAACAGGGCCCCTTCCTGCCCCCACGGCGCCAGCACTGAGGACTGTGTTGGGTTTGGGAGCCCTCCCATGTGCGGAGCTGTCCTGGCTGTCCCTGGAGCTGTGTCCTCTGCTAATAAAAGTGGTGGTGGAAACAGCAGCACTGCCAGCTGCTTTTTTGCTGTCTGTGGCAAGGCCTGGGTCTGCCTCACAAACCTTCATGTCTACAAACCCCGCTGTGAGTAGAGGATGTGCCTGTTCCTGTGCTCTGCAGCCCTGTCTGTGCACCCTTGCTCCTGCTGCCCAGCTAGGGCTAGGGTATCCCAGGCCACTCTGCCCCCCAGCTCGTGCATGGAGGTCCTTTGGAGAGCTTATTTTGCACAGCAAAGCCCCAGGCACTGTCCTAGTTGGAGTGGGATGTGATCTATTTCTCCCCTAATGTGTCACCTGCCGCCATCAGAAGGGATCTGCTCTGTGCTGGATGACCAGAAGGGATGAGGATGGGGCTGCCAGCGAGGGAAACAGGGGGTGGAGATGGGGCTGCGGGAGTGGAAAAGATGTCCTGAGGGGCCGTGAAACAGCACTGAGAGCGGTGGGTAGGTGGGAGCTGCCAGGCCACAGGCGCTGGGGCGGTTCTGCTCTGCGGGCAGATGGTTTTGCAGCGCTGCAGGCGTTTCCAGCACCTTCTGACGCATCTGCAGCACCGCCTGCCCACAACATTCACACGTAACTAGGGAGCCAAGTGTGAGAGCTGCCTGCGAGGACAGCGCGGGCGCCACGGCTCGGCGAGCGCTGTGAGCAGGGCCAGGGACACCATGGGGGCCACGGGGAGCCTGGTGCTGCTGTTGGCGCTGCTGGTCCCCGCCATGGGCCGAGCAGGTGAGAGGGGGCAGCCTCAGTGCCCTGGGGATCCTGCATGGACCTCACAGGGATCCAACTGCTCCACACGCAGGGAGGTGCGAGCTGGGTGTCCCCAGCTCCATCCTCCCCAGCAGCAGCAGCCCCCAAACTGCATGTCTGTGGCCCGCAGCACAGGGCTGCCCACAGGCCTCGGTCATTGGGGGCGAGGAGGCTGAGCCGCACTCACGGCCCTACCTGGTGTCGGTGCAGCACCGGGGGACCCATGCGTGCGGCGGGGCGCTGCTGCACCCGCGCTGGGTGCTCACAGCCGCACACTGTCTTCCCACGGGGTGAGTGGGGCTGGGCCCCGCGGTGCAGGGTGCTGGGGGCGCATGCACTCATGGCGACTCCCACAGCACGGCCGCCCTGTGGAAGGTGGTTGTGGGGCTGCACAGCCTGGCCAAGGGGCAACCCCCAGCGCAGACATTCGGCATCCGTATGGTCTGTCCTCACCCTGGCTACCGGTGTGACACCATGGAGAATGACCTGCTGCTGCTGCAGGTAGGGGTGACAGGTGGCATGGGGCGCTGGCACGGAGGGTGCTTGGCAAGGGGGAGCTTTGCCACAGCATGAGGATGGAGCATGCAGCGATGAGCAACGCGGAGGAGGTGCCAGGAAGGGGCTGGAGGTGCTGAAGGGTTGTGGGTGAGAGCAGCGAGTGTTTGGCAGCTGCTACTTCCTTTTTTTCACATTGGTTCTATGGGGGCCCCTCGGTGGGTGCTGCGCACTTGTCCTTGCCACTGCCAGTGGCACCGGGATTTGACGGTGCCGCTGCCCACAGCTTGAGCAGAAGGTGCCACTGAGCCGGACGCAGCGGCTCGTGGGGCTGCGGCAGCAGGAGCCAGCGGCCGGTGCCTCATGCAGCGTGGCCGGCTGGGGTGTCAGCCGTGCCGGGCGCCCCTCGCCCCGGCTGCAGCAGCTGCAGGTCGTGGTCATGGACGCCCGCATGTGCAACAACAGTCGCTTCTGGGACGGCGGCATCGCCTCCACCATGATCTGCTTCCAGGGCTGCCGACGGGGCTCGGCGCCCACCAAGGTGAGGCCAGTCCCGTGGGACTCCTGGTCCAAAGTGGGAATCCCAGTGGGATACAAAGACTCCTGCATGCAGGGTGACTCCGGAGGCCCCTTGGTGTGTGGGAGGAGGGCAGCCGTGGCCGGTGTCATTTCCTTCACTGGCCAGGACGCCACAGACCCCTTCAAACCGCCAGTGGCCACTTCAGTGGTCAAGCACCGCAAGTGGATCCGGAGAACCCTGCGCTCCAGCTGCCCTGGCCACATCGGACACACAGACCAGCCCATCCCACTTACATAGGTTTGCCTTTAATTTTTAATACTGTCCAGAATCCTGGTAAAATAACATCCTTAGTACATAAATACAGCGCTGGGGGGCAGGGGGCACCAGAAGCAGAGAAGGGGCTGCCGCCAGCCCCCATGCTGCTCCACAGAAGGGAACCAGAGCCAGTGCTAAGGAGCCAGGGGGAGCTGGTTTGAAATGGGGGCTGCACCCGCGTAGCCAGAGCAGGGCAGCAGCTCCCTGGGGGGAGCTGTTCTCGTCCCTGAGAGCTGCATGTCCCTGCCCAGTCCCAAAACTCCCAGCTGGGGGTTTTGGTGGCCCCAGGTTGTGCTGGGACTAGGAAGGTCCCCTGGGCCCTCCTGCCTGTGGCTGCTGCCCCGGCAGCCCCATAGCCCTCCCACCCGCAGCGTGTCCCTCTGCCCCTTGCAGCCCCCGTGGGTGTCCCCAGATAGAGTCCTGGTCCTGGAGCTGCCCTATCCGAGGAAGCTCCAGTGACTGCAGAGCTGGAGCCAGGAGGAGAGACAAGGGAGCACTGGGAGCAGAGGGAGGCCGCAGCATGAGAGGGTCCCTGATGCTTCCCAAGCTGGTGGGAGGCCATGTGGGCGTAGTCCAGTCCTGGATGGACCCGTGTCCGTGGGGCAGCACCGGGGCTCTGCAGACAGTGCAGGGGGCCCAGACCCTTTCCCTGGAGCTGGGTGCCCCCAGGCCAGATCAGCACCTGGATCCCGCCCCCACAGCTCCCCGACCTGGCGCCCGCCCTCCTTTCAGCAGCAGAGAGGCCTCTGCGCTTATCATCATCCGGACCCTCCTTGTGCCTTTCCCTGCTGTGATCCCGAGCTACAATCCCAAGCTGGGGGGGATGAATTCCCCACTCTTTGCTCTTTCGTTAATAAAGCAGCTGCTTAATGGCAGGGCCAATGGTAGAGCCGATGTGTGAGTGGAAGTGTGCAGTGGAACTGCAGCGTCCTGGGCTCCTCCCCGGTGCCAGCATCGCCACATCCCGCAAAGGGCTGCAGGGCCACCGGGAAAGCCTCCTGCTGCCTCCAGTGCCGGGGAAGTGATCAAAACATGGGATGGGGAGTGGGTCCTCCGGCCGTCCTGCGTCCCCTTCCCCATCCAGACTGTCCCAGCTGGTTCTAGGGGTTCACGACAGAGGGGTCACTGCTGCAGCTCCAGGGTATCTTCCGGCTCCAGCAGTACTGGAGCGGCTCTACTGGCAGCAGCACCTAGGCTGGGATTTTCTCCACTGCCTTGTCGGCTGCGGCAGGCATGGCCATGGGGCTGGGCACATAGTTGAAGGGGGAGACGCGGGCGGCACGGCTGGGGGAGCCGTGCCGGCTGCCCGGGAAGCTGCTGCTACCTGTGGGCTCATGCCTGAAGATGGGCAAGGCACCCTTGCCAGGGCCCGGGCCAGCGCTGCGGCCACGCTCAGGCCCCACACGGCTTTCCAGTGTGGGCGATGTGCTGGAGTTGGTCTTGGCGGTGGCGAAGTCCTCGGTCTGTACTACGGCGTCACTCGTCTTGCGTGGTGTCCCTGCACTTGGCACTGCCTCCTCCTCCTCCTCCTCCTCGGTGGCGCTGGCCAGCGGCAGTGCTGAGGAGGGCAGTGTGCTCTTGAGGATGTGTGGAATGTCCTCGTCACGGATCCGCCGCCACGTGCCCTTCATCATCGCTGTGGGTGCCTTTGGTGCTGTCGGGGGCTCAAGGGGCTGCCGTGCCCGACGTGGTGCGGTGGCCTCGGAGGTGGCCGAGCGCACAGATGAGGGGCTGCTGGCCCTGCGGGCCACACTGATGTTGGGTGAGGATGAGTAGCGCTTGAAGGGCTCCGGCGTCCCGATGCCACTGCTTTTCACCGGCAGGCGCGATGGGCTCTGCGAGCTGGTTCTCCGTGGTGCTTTGGCCCCACTTTGCCCCTGGGTGCTCAATGAGCCTGGCCTCAGCACCCCCTTGGCTGCCTTGAGCTCATCGCAGCGGGACGAGCAGAGGAAGACAGCAGGCAGGGCAGCGCGGCTGCGCGGCTGCGCAGGGCCTGGCACTGGCGGCAGCTCCGTGTGGTGCCGCAGAAGCAGGCTGGACGACTCCTTGATGAAGGTGAGCTGGCGCAGGAAGCCAGAGCGCTCCGTGTCGCTGCTTCTGGCGTGCGCCGACGCCACACGCTCCAGCTCCATCTGCCTGCCCGCCGGCCCCGCTCGCCCGCCGGTGCCACCACCACACGCCTTGATGCTGCCCGTGTGCTCCTCCAGCGCTGGTAGCGCACCCCGAGCTGGCAGCGCCTTCTTGCTGGGCTTCTGCATGAAGGGGATGCGCACCGGTGACTTCTGTGTCTTGGGCTGCTTGGGCGCCGGTGACTTGGGCGCTGCAGCTCTGCCTGGTGGGGACGAAGTGCCACCCACCTTGCCGGCCGGTGGTGGGCCCAGCTTGGCCAGCTGCGAGGGCGATGGCAGCTTTTTTCCAGCGGGCTGTGATGGGGTAGAAGTGCGGGATGAGCCCGAGGATGGTGGCCCCTTGCCCATGCGCGCGGGCGGTGTGGTGCTGCGCTTGGGAAGCGCCAGCTCGCCCAGCTCAGAGGCCTTGCCCAGCCGGTGAAGGCTCCGTGACCGCTGCTGGCTCAGAGACAGATTCTTGGCTGTCATCTCAGCCTTGGCTGCTGCTGTCGCTGTCTTCTTGGGGGTGGACCGTAGGCTGGCGGCATCCTTGGCCAGGCTGGGCATGTAGATGACTGTCCTACCACGGAAAACCACGGGCAGGTTGGGCACGGGCTTCTGTGGGGCTGGGCTCCGGGATGTCCCAGCACTGCGGCCGCCCACGGCCCGGGGCTCCATCGCCTTCTTGCCTGGTGGGATGCCCTTGGTTCGCTCCCTCTTGTTTGCCTCAGGGCCTCGGGCCTGTTTCTTCTCCTTCCTCTCCAGGGAGAGCTGCAGGGTGGAGCCAACTGAGAGCCCTGACATGAAGGAGAGGATGGAGTCAGACTCAGAGGATGCCTCCCGCGACAGGGACGCGGCAGCCTGGTGCAGCCAGGTGACTATGGAGTTGGCACCCTCCTGGATGGCTTTCCACTCCACGCTGTCCAGGTCAGAGCCCCGGTCAGAGCCGGCGTCCTCGGCGGGGTGATGCTGACCCTCAGCTTTCCTGCTGCCCAGGCTCTTGGTGCTGGAGCCCTTGAGCTTTGTCTTGCGCTCGGTGGCACGACGATGCACTGAGGGCCGTCTCCGCTTGGGCATGACCGAGCCGATGCACTTCTGCAGCAGGTTGTCCTCAGAGTGGAGACTGAGTGAGCTGGGGGAGCTGCTGCGTGCCAGCCCCAGCACCGCGCGCGCCTGGGCCACTTTGCTGTGGGGCTGCACCCAGCCCTCACCCGCAGAGAGGTTGGCATCACTCAGGGAGCTCATGGAGGAGCTGAGTGAGTAGCATGGCGGCGTCTCGTCTGCTATGAGGTTGTGCTGCATCTTGGTCACTGCTTTGGCCTTGCCGGGCACCGGCTGATTGCTGGTATCGGGCTCTGGACGGCAGACGGGGCTGCCACGTCGCTCTGTGCGCAGACTCTGGCCAGGCCGGGCTCTGCCACCCACCACATCAGGCGCCTCGTCGGAGTCACACTCATAGAAGCAGTAGATGGCCTCCTCTGTCGGCGTCGTGTGGCACAGGGACTGGAAGGCCACGTCGCCTTCAGGGGCCCCATCTTTCTGCCTCGTGTCCCGCTCCAGGCTGCCGCTGCTCCTGGAGGGCTCCTGGCCCCGCTTGGCCTTAACGCCATCCCTCGTTGGGGGCTTGCAGGCCGAGCCACCACGGCTCTGTGCGGAGCTGCCAGAGGACGATCTCTTCCCAGGCTCCCGCTGCCCCTCAGCCTGGCTGCGCTGTCCAGATGCCGCCTCCCTCCTCTCCATCCTCTTCGGGGGGCCCTGAGGCTGTTTGGGCTCCTCCTTGGCTGGGTAGCGTAGGGTCTCATCGCTCAGCGAGGCGGCGCTGGAGAAGTTCACCGGGGTACCGTCCGCAGAGTCGGTGCAGGAATCATCGTCCTTGAAGGGGTCGCGGGCGGCCACTTGCAGATGCCTGGGGACCCCTGGGTGGGACGAGGCCGGCACCAGCATGTAGACGGGCACGTGCACAGCCTTCTTGGTGTGCGGGTGCAGCACCTGACCCGAGAGCAGCGACGTCTTCACCTTGCAGAAGCGGGAAGGCATGGCCGAGTTGATGCACTCCTTGAGGATCTCAATGTCGTCATCAGAGTTGGGCTCCACATGGTCTGCCCGCCGCCGGGCCTCCAGAAATCGCTCCTCCCGCCTCTCCTCCCGCTTCTCGTGGGCCACAAAATTGAGACTGTTTTTCTCTGGGAAGGTGGGCATCAGCTTGAGCTCCACGTCCTTCTGCACGTAGTGCTCATGGAGGGGCAGGGCACTGAGGCTGGACGCACAGGAAAAGTTCTCATTGGGTTTCTCCACTGTGAAGTAGACCATGGAGTCCAGGTCCTGGGGCAGTTGGAAGCGCTCTTTGAAGTCTGTAATCTCCATGAACTTCTTGACATTGTTCTCCCACTGAATGTTGAACTGGCTGGTCTCCTTCTCCGGCTGGCAGCCCAGCTCGAAGAGGGGTGTCTTGCTGCGGCTTGGCGGCATGGTCTGCCCAGGGCTGTCAGGTAGCTCACTAGGGCTGATGGTGCCACTGAACATCTCACTGCAAGGGTCACTCTGGATGGAGCTGGCAATGGAGGGGCTCTCGAAGCTGCCTAGGGAACTCACGGAGCTGCAGCGGCTCATCACCAGTGGTGTCTCCTGGATGTAGTTCTCCGAGGAGCTCGAGGGTGTGAGGTCCTCGTGGCGTGACGGGGATGTCTCCCGCAGGAAGACTTTGTCACGCTTTGGGAAGGGGATGCTAATGGGCTTTGAAATCCCCCCTGGAGTGGTTGGGCCTCGATCCACTGCCTTCTCCTTCTGCTGCCTCCCATCCTCGGGCTCCCCGTTCCCTTCCTCCATCTCTATGATCTCCAGGGAGGAGTCACTGTCAATGTCATTCTCGCTGTGACTCTGCCCATCTAGCACGTTGTCGGCCGAGGAGAGCGAGGAGAGCGAGCTGCAGCGCGAGAAGCAGATCGGGGTGTCCTCCACCGAGTACTTCTGCACCAACTCCTGCTCCGCGGTGGCAGGCGGGTGTGCTGCCAGCTTCTCTGGGATCTTGCTGAGGGTATCGGCTGTCTGCAGCAGCGCAGGGGGAAGCCAGGCCTGCTTTCTGCCCAGCAGCGAGGGGTGGTGGCCAGCACTGGCCAGGCCCCCAGCGCTGGCGGTTGAGCTGCTCTTGGCCAGGTTCTCGAGCAGCGGGATGTGCTGGTAGGATGGGGAGAGCTTGATCGTGTGCACCTGTGGGTCAGAGGGGAGCTTGCTGCCTGCCTCCTTCTTCCATTCGGGCTCCTTGTCCAGTGCCTTGGGACTGGGGAAGGTCACTGTCTTCTTGGCTCTCTCAGGCAGGTCCCCCTGCTCCAGCTTGTCTGGTTCTGCCTGGTCCTTGGCCTTTGGTACAGGTGGCTCAATGCGCTCGGGTTTGCTGCTGAGGATGTTCTTGAGGTCAAGCCTGCTGGGCCGCTTCTGGTAGTGCTGCAGCTCCTCACGATAGTCAAGGAAGGGTGCGCGGGTGCAGGGTTTCATGTGCTCCTTGGTGCAGTAGCCATCGCTGGTGCTGCCACTGTTGAGGCTGTCGTTGGACAGACTGGTGTAGGCCGTCTTCAGACGCAGCAGCGCCCGTGCGCGATTCAGGTTCTCCCGCTTGGCGAAGCCGCTGGTGTCCGAGAGGCGGCAGGGCGAGCAGGACTGGGCACGAGCCTCGCGCGCCTCCTCGGCCCCGTACTGCCAGTCAAGGCAGTGATCCTCCGAGCTGAGGCTGAAGCTGTCATCTGAGGATGTGTGCATGGTGGAGATGTCTTCCACCAGCTTGTCGATCTTGGCCACCGTGCTGGAGATCTTGTTGGCCAGCTTCTCGGCTGCCAGTGAGACGTCGTCCTCTGGTAACGGTGGCTTCTTGGGCTCGGCCAGCTTGCTGCCTGTGTCCTTTTCCGGCTCTGGGCATCTCCTCTGAGCAAGAGCTCGGGGCAGAGCCTGGCCTTGGAGGAAAGAGGAGTTGAGGAACATGGAGAGGACGGAGGCGTTCGCCGCCTCCACGCCGCTCGAGACATTGGGCACCTCATCATCATCAAAGCAGCCTGAGTCAGAGGCATAGTCCTTCACCAGGCTCTCCATGTGCCGCAGTGGCTTCTTCGCACTCTGGCTCTTCAGGCTCTGCTTCTCCATGGTGTCAAAGGTCTCAGCCAAGTGCTTTGCATCCAGCTCGGCCTCCAAAGCCTTCTGCTTGCGCACATAGAGGGAGGGCATGCAGGAGCCTGGGGAGATGACAGATGTATCCTTGTACTTGGGGGGCCGGTTGGTGAGCAGGTTGCGGAGGGCGGCAGCGCTGCCCATGGCAATCATCTTGTGCTTGGAGTGGATGAGGTTGCGCAACATGCTGACGGCCCCCAGGTCCCAGAGCAGCTCCTGGTCCTTGGGGCTGCGTGCTGAGAGGTTCCAGAGCGTGCCGCAGGCATTGCTTACGATTGTGAGGCTATGTGAGCGCAGGTGCTGCAGCAGCGTCTGCAAGCAGTTGTGGTCCCGGAGTACCTGCCTGCGAGACAATCCCGCTGTGAGCCCCATGGCGAGGGAGGACCTGGGGGCCAAGCCACAGCCTGACAGGACACCCATGTCCCTATGCCCCCACGGGGAGGGAGGTCTCCCCATGGAGCCCGCATCCCCTCCCTTCTCCCAGGGCTCCAAGCCAGCTGTACCCCTTGCAGGGGGCAGGAGGGAGCACACATGAGATGAGCCAGGAGGCACCCCCAGAAGCACCCTTGCGTGGCCTTGCTGGCCACAGGACATCTCGTCCTGCCCTCACCGGTAGTCCTCGCGTGTGGCAATAAGGCTGGAGACGTTGCGGAGGATGCCGCCGCCGCTCTCGATGATGGCCAGCGAGTTGCTCTGGCACTTGTAGGTGAGGGTGCTCACCAGGAAGCCCAGGGCACCCTCCACCACACAGATGGCAGCTTTGTTCTCCGTGCTGTGCGCCGAGAGGTTCCAGAGCGCGCTGAGCACGCTCTTGAGCGTCGACTCCTGCCCAGGGACAGTTCCGCATCAGCCCCAGCGCCACGGTCCCGGGGCACATGGGGCAGGGGAAGTATCCTCACCTTGGTGGCATGCAGCGCGCACTGTGTGAGCCCGGCCACGCTGCCCACCTCCCGCAGCACCTTCTTGCTGTTGATGTCCGCGCGCCACGACAGGTTCCTCAGGATGCTGGAGACCACCTGGCAGGGCAGAGCAGCCCATGGGCCCACGACTCTGCCAGGCAGACTGGCACAGTGTTCCCAGGGTGTCCCCAGGGATGCACGGCCTGTCCTCATCCCCACTTGCCAACCTGGTGCAGCTCCTCGCTGTCTGAGGCCAGCTGAGCCACGATGGCCTCCATGCAGCCGCGGCGGGAGCAGAGTGTGGCCTGCGGGAAGGACAGCTCTGTGAGCGCGGGCACTGCCATGGCCCCACTGTGACCCCCTGTCCCCACCACACCTTGTTGACCACGTCTCCAAAGGTGAGGTTGGTAAGGGCCATGCCTGCGTAGCGCCGCAGTGCCAGGTTCAGCGGGTCACTCGTCATCCTGTGCATCTCATAGTCCACTTGCAGCAGCTCAGCCACTGCCTGCAGTCCACCTGTGCGGTGACACAGGTCATGTGTGACATGGGACCTCCCCGCTGCCACTCGCGCTGGGGGACAGGGGAGGCGCAGGGGACATATGGGGACATCAGCTGCCCGTGGTGCCATGCAGGGCCGGAGCTCACCCAGCTCGTTCATGGCACGTCGGTACTCCTCATCGAAGGAGAGCTTCATGATAGCACAGGTGGCCTGGCAGATCTGGGGCTCGATGGGCACCGGGGCTGTGGGGAGAGCAGGGGGATGCTGAGCTTGCAGGGCTGGGCAGGGCCCCACTGTTCCTGTGCCAGCCCTGCACTGCCCAGTGCCACCCAGTGCACATGCGCTTGATGGCGCACGCCTCGTACCCGCTCCACCCTCAGGTCCCTTGCTCCCCTCGTGGCCTTGCATCTGCAGCCAGTCCCAGCAGGTCTCCGAGTAGGAGCGGATCTGCTCGAGCACGTGCAGCACCCGCATCTCCTTCTTGGCCTGGCCCTCATCAGGCTGCGAGAAGACGATGTTGTGCAGGGCAGCGTTGGCACGCATGCGGGCGTCCTTGGCACCCGCGGGACTCTCGGGCGGCCCCGGCTCGTGGTCTGAGTCATGCAGGATCTGGATGAGCAAGGGCAGGCAGCCTGACTTGCGCATGGCCAGGCAACTCTCTTGTGAGCTCGACATGGCCAGCAGTGTGCGCGACATGTCCTCCTTGTCCCGTGTCGCCAGCATGGACAGGAGCCAGAAGACAACCTCCACCTGCAGCGAGGAGCAAGGGTTAACCGGGACAAGGCTGTGATAGGCGCGGGGATGGGGAGACAGCTCCTACCTTGCTGCTGCCCAGGCTACCGCTGCCATCATCGGGGTGGGTGGGCAGGTCGAGGTCGCTGTCCTCCTCCAGGCCCGGCAGTTTCGCGCAGAGCTGTGGACAGGGCGAGTGGGGCCACATGGCAGCACAACCACAATGTGGGGACATGCACAGCCCCTTGTGTGGCAGCAACTCCTTCCCCAGATGCCACTATGAGATTTTTAAGCTGGAACGGGGCTGAGCGGCCAGGGCTGCCATGGGGCTGTACCAGGGAAGGAGAGAGTGGGGACACAGAGAGTAGGTAGGATGTGGGGACTGCATCAGAGCTGGTGTGGGAGGGTGAGCAGAGGTGATGGCAGGGCCAGGTGGGGGTGACAGAGGGACCCGGGGAAAGGAGGGACCTGGGGAGAGTGGGCACTGGAGACATGGAGATGATGGAGAGATATTGTGCTGACGGGACGATGGAGGGGCTGTGTAGGACACGCACATGATGAAGCAGATGTGCAGGACCAGAAGACCACAGAAAAGGACCAGGGAACAATTGAGAGGCCCTGCAGGACACAGGGATGATGGAGAAGCTGTGCAGGACATGGAGGAGACGGAGGGGCCATGCAGGACATGGAGGCGATGGAGGGCTGCACAGGATGAGACACTGATGGGGCAATGGAGGGGCCGTGCTGGACGCAGGGGTGACACCGAGGCTGTGGCGGCGCGGGGGCTGCGCCCGGGGGCCAGTGGTGCCGCCTGCTGGCTCAGGGCGCTGGCAGATGCCGCGCAGTGCCCGCCCGCTGCGCCGTGGCCTACTTCTGGTCTCCATGGCAACTGCCCATTTCATGGTGCCTGTGCTGCACAAAGCCGCGCTCAAGGCGCCGCGAGGCCACCAAGGGGCCGGTGGCTTCGCAGCACCGAGCTCAGCCCCGGTACCTGCGGCTCTGACTGCTGCACCTTGTCCTGCGCCTCCATGAGCTCCTTGTCAATCTGCTCCAGCCGCGACGCACGGATCTGCACACACAGAGTGGGCATCAGCGCACGCTGGGGACACACAGCCCTGAGAGCTGATGACAAGCGCATGCAGGGATGGGGAAGGTTGGGGACAAGCATACACAGGGATGGGGACAGCAGGTCACCGAGGTGCAAGGGCACAGGGCGCAAAGCACTGGAGATGAGGATCTTCTGGGCAGGGAGCACTGCATGCAAGGGTACATGGGACCAGGCTAGATGGGGACGAAGGTGTACAGGGATGGGGATTATCTGGGACGCAGGGGACAGACCTGTGCCCGCTGCACCATCTCATCAGCTGTGCCAAAGCGCTCCTCCATGAGCGCACGGATATGCTGCACCTCGAACTCCAGCTGCTGCCGGATGAGATCCATCTGCATGGAGAACTGCGGGGCAAGGAGAAGGTGTCACGGAGCACCGGGCTGGGTCGGGCACAGCAGCTGTCCCCACTCACCGTTTCCACATGCGGCAGCTCGTCCAGGCGCTTGGACAGGTTCTGCAGCTGTGTGTAGTACCAGCCCTTCTCCTTCTCCTCCTTCTCCATCTCGCCCAGCAAGAAGCACCTGGATATGCAGGACAGTGCCCGTCAGTGGGGCATCCTGCCGAGCACAGCCCCAGCACAAGCACCCCCGCCACGGGGACAAGCCAGGTGACCTCTCGCGGTCCAGCTCCTCGAGGATACGCAGGGTGGCCTGGCCTGGGTCCCCGGTGCCATCCTTGCCCCGCGGGGCAGGCAGCAGCAACTCCTCCGCCAGCTCTGGCACCAGTTTGGCCGTTGGGAACTTGAGGTTGTAGAGGCTGGAGATGTCCATCTGCAGGGCTGGAGATGGAGGTGGTAGTGACAGGAGGCAGGGGGAAGGGGCAATGGGCCTGGGGCTGGGGCCAGGGCGCTGCCACCCACCTTTGAGCTGCTCCAGGACCTCCGTCTGCCCTGAGGACACCATGACCCGGGCCTCCTGCTCCAACTTGTCCTGCAGGTGCTTCAGAACCTCCTGAAACCCAGAGGGACTTGTCAGAGAGGGACACCAGGGGCAGAAGGGGCATCCCAGGTGGACGCTGGCTCCAGCCTCACCTTCATGTCTGAGGTCTCATTCTCGAGCTTGGAGAGGTGGTGCGAGTTGTCCTGCAGCTCGCGCCGCAGGTGGCTGTTCTCCTTCTTGAGCGCCTCCACCTGCCGCACGAGCTGCTCGTACGAGGCAATGGAGCCGGACATCTTCAGCACCTCATCAGCCTGCAGGGGTGAATGTGGGCGCCTGGATGCCTGGGCCAGCTGCCTGGGTCATGCCTGGACCACCCCCCCAGTGCAGCCTCACACGCTGCGTGTCCCTGGCATGGGGGAGGTCTTGCTGTCCTTGGCCAAGTCTCCCTCCCTGCCAGTGGCTCCCATCTTCCCTCCCTTCCCCTTTGTCTCCCTTTTGTCTTCTCAGCCCTTCTGATTCTCCCCTTCCCTCATGCCCCCCCACCATGGGGGCCACTACGACCCTTCCCGGAGGAGCCCTGGCCCTCAGTCTGCCTCCCCACCCCCAATCCCAGCCCCCAGGTGCTGCCGGCATCCCCCGGCTGCAACCCGCCCCAGCCACTCAGGCACCGCAGCCCCCTTGTGACTGCGGCGCCTGCATGCGCGGTACCAACACACATGGTGGGGGGTGGGGATGGGGGCCTAAGCGCGCCAGACCAGCAACAGGGCCCCCCGTCGCTGCTTCGCGGGGCCATGTGTGCATGTGCTGGGGCGCAGACAGACATGCATGCAGTGCTACAGCCACAAGCATACAGGCCGTGCGCACGCTCACGTATACAAGCAATGCATGTCTTATGCATGCATGCAGCTGTGTGCACGCACGTCCATACGTGCGTCCATGTGCGTGCATGCATGTGCGTGCTCATGCATGTAGGTGTGCGTGATGAATATGGCTGTGATGATGCAACGCTGCCTTTGTCTGTCCCCAGACACCGTTGCTCAGGGGCTGCAGCGGCAGCTTTCAACAATCTCCCCAAAACCTCCCCACCTCCTGTCACTTCCCCTCCCCATCTGAGATGCAGGGAGAAGGGATGGAGGGTACACAATACGGGATGCTGGATACAGATGTGGGAGGCACAATATGGGATGCAGGATGCAGGCTGGAGTGCAGGATGCAGATGCAGGCTGGGATTCAGGATGCACAATATAGGATGCAGGATGTGGATGCAGGTTAGGATGCAGGATGCGGCCTGTCTCTGTTCCTGTTGCCATGGCTACAGCCCATGCGGGCGTTGCCAAGCAGGGTGGCTCTGCGTAGTCCTGGACTGCCAGGTGCATCCCTGCGGTGGCAGTGCCTGTGCCCCCTGCCCAGCTCCTCCAAGGCCAAGGACTAGATTGCGTGTGGGGACGAGGGGCTGGCTCTGAGCTCCCAGACTCCCGGGTCCCTTGCAGAGAGGTCTGGGGCGGCACTGGGCCCTGCAGCCTGCAGGGAGGGGCTACCATGAAGGCACCTGCAGTTGCAAAGCGTCTAGACAGAGTCGGGGAAGAGAGAACCAGGGCTGTAGCGCTGGAAGACGTGGTATTCCCTCCCTGCACCTGCCCTCCGCCATGCTGGCCCCTGAGCAGGAGTCTCTGCTGCTGCACTCCCATCTAGGGGGTTCCTGGGGACCTGGATCTGGCCAGGAAGGTCCCAGAGGGGTAGATGCTGCAGGAGACCAGGGTGGAGAAGCAGCATCTGCACTGCCCACTGCACTGTCAAGCGCTGCACTGTTCCCCACTGCACTGTCACCTCCTGCACCACCCATTGCACCACGCTGCCCACCACGCCGCACTGCCCACTACGCTGCCTGGCCTGTCAGGCTCTTCTTCTGCAATGCCCTTTGCAGCATCTTGCCCTTGCAGTGCCCGTTGCAGTCCGCTACCCATGCACTGCCCTTGCGCAGCTGGAGATGGCAGGACTGCAGGTTTCGAGGGACTCGGCAACCCTTGCCAGTAGCTCCGCATGTTGCGGCCACTTCTGTCCCTGCAGTGCCCGCCTGGGACCGCAGCGCAGCAGCCACATCTGCGGTCCCCGCGCCCCCGGGGATGTTAAACAAACAGCGTGTTGTCACCAGCGCTGCTAATTGACCCGGCGGCTCGCAGTGGCCCAGGGGGGCCCCGGGCAGGGCCAAGCTGCCCCCAGGGAGGGCGCACTGGCCACACGCACGAGCGTGCACGAGCACACACTGAGTGTGAACGAGAACGGGCATGAGCACATGCGTGGACACACATGAACACCACACATACCCCTCATCGCTGCCCCCCCACACCCAGGCTCCTGCCCCAACGTCCTGGCGGCCGCAGACAAACCCGGGGCTGCGGCAGGGCCCGGGGGGGGAGGGGGCGATCTCCGGGTGTCCCCTGTGTCCCCCCAACCAGTGCCATCACGGGCCACGCAGAGGTGGGGAGGGTCTCATTGGGACCCACAGGGATGGAGACGGGCCCGGTGTGGGGGGCAGGTGCCGCGCTGAGGGTCTCGCAACCCGCCCCACCGCAGCGCCGCAGCACCGGGCCCAGCGCGGCAGCATCCCGCCCCCCCCGCAGCAGCATCCGCGCATCCCGCCCGGGCCGACGGCTCCCCCCTCCCGTGCCTCCCCCCCCCCGACCCCGGGCAGGGCCCCACCGCCCCCCGGCGCCGGGGAGTCCCCCCGGCGGCGCCCCCCTCCTGCCGCAGCCCCCGCCGCGCTGCAGTGATGGGAAGAAAGGAATAAAGGAGACCGGCGGGGGGCGAGGGGGGAGCAGGGAAATCATCCCTCCCGCAGCCCCCGGCCCCCGGCGGCGGGAGCCCCGGTAGCCGGTACCTCATCGCCGAAGAAGGCGGCGTGCAGGAAGGCGAGCAGCGCGGGCAGCCCCATCCGCGCCGCGGCCCCGCGCAGCCGCCGCCCCTCGGCCGCTCCCGCGGGGTGGTCCCAGCCCGGGCGGGGCCGTCGCCGTTCGGTGGCAGCGGGCGGGACGCGGCGGCACCGAGGACCCCCGCCTCGCCGCGCTCTAGGGGTAGCAGTACCCCCGGGTTGTGCCCCGGGGCTTTGCAGGGAGCAGCCCCAAAGCACCGCGCCCGAGGGGGCTGCGGCCCCGCCGCGCAGCCCCGGAGCCCGCGGGCGCTTTGGGGCCCGGCTTGCGCCCCTTCTCCGGGGCCGCCGCGCCAGTGTGGGGGCTGCCGCCGCCCGCCCCCGTCCCCAGCACCGCAGCACGGGGTCCTGGGGGTTGCCCCGGTGCCCACCCCCCGGGCCGGTGGGAGCCCCGCGCGGTGCGGGGGCCTCCGCAGGACGCGCCTGCGATGCGGGGCGGGTCGGAGGGAGCCCCGCGCGGGGACAGCGACAGCGGCAGGTCCGGGACAGGAGCAGGTCCTGGGGCCGGGGAGGTGGCGGCGGAGCGCGCCAGGCGCCAGCGCGCGGACGGGGGGACCCGGGTGTCTGCAGCGTCTCCGGGAGCCTCCAGGACGCGCAGCTCAGACCGGGGGCCTGGGACGGGGCCGTCCCCAAGGGCAGCTCGCGGTGCCCGCGCAGCCCGGCAGGGTCCTCGGCCGGCCCCTGCCCGGGGCACCCCTGGAGCGGCGCTGGGGACAGCAGTCCCACGGGGACGGGACTCGCTCTGGCAGCAGGGGGACCGCAGCCTCCGCGCCAGCGGCTCAGGGGGCACTCGCGGGGGGTTGCCAGCTCCCCCCGAGCAACGTGGCCCCAGCACCCAGGGGGTGGTCGTGGGGGAACAGGGACAGTGCCCGTTCATCAGCGCCCGCCGGCATGGGAGATGCTCCCGTTTCCCACGGGAAGTGGCTGTGGAAGCTCCGGGCAGCAGCGGCCCCTGCATGGGGAGTCCCCATTCCCCCCGAGGCTCCATGAACCCCCCCCTACACAGGGCAGAGGTTCTACCGCCCCATTCCCAGGAAGGGGGAGTAGCAGAAAGGCCCCCAGCAGCCAGCGTGCACATGGAAAACCTCGGTCTGAGCCTCAGAGCGGCCCGTTCCACTGCTCCTCATGGCTCCCAGCACAGCAACCACACACAGCAGAGACATTTGGTAAATTGTCTTTATTTACACCTAGAAAAGGCCTCCTCACTTGAGGGGGATGAAGCGGGAGGAGTGGGTGGCACCAATGCCGGGGCGGCCGTGCTTCACCGGCTTGTACGTGATGGAGAACTCGCCCAGATAGTGGCCGATCATCTCGGGCTGCAAGGGAAGGGGAGTGTGAGTGGGATGGGGCCGCATTCCAGCAGCCAGTGCTGCACAGAGGCATCCCAGGTGCTGACAGAACCCGTGGTGCCTCGTCTGGGTGCTCCACAGCCCCTCTGGGACCGCCATGCATAGAACCAGTGAGGCCATGAGGGATGAGACACCTGCCCGGAGCTGATGCTGCCCCATCCCAGCCAGCTCTGCACGCAACCAGATCCCAGGAAGAAGGGGCTATTCAATGGCAGCAGTGAGATCAGGTGGCACTGCGGGTTATTCCACACCCAGGAGATGCAAGTGCTTCCCTTGCTGCTGAAATGCGACTCCGTCGTGAGCGCAGCAGGCTGGGGATGCGCACGGCGAGTGAGCAGCAAGCGCGGCCTCCCCCTGAGCCGCAGCAGTGGCCGAGAGCCCTGAGGGGCGCTTAGAAGTGGCACTGGGGCTTCTGCAGGCCCCGCAGCGCAGGCAATGCTGCAGGGAGCACTGCACCAGGCTCCCGTGCACCACACACCAACGGCCTGGGTGGCAGCGGTGCCCTGCCAGGGCAGCACCTCACCTTTATCTCCACCTGGTTGAAGGTCTTGCCGTTGTAGACGCCCACCATGCTGCCCACCATCTCGGGCAGGATGATCATGTCTCGCAGATGGGTCTTCACCACCTCGGGCTTCTCCATGGGCGGCGCCTCCTTCTTGGCCTTGCGCAGCCGTTTGAGCAGCGAGTGCTGCTTGCGGCGCAGGCCGCGATTGAGGCGCCGCCGCTGCCGTGCACTGTAGAGCTGCATGAGCTGCTCGCTGCGGCGGGAAGGAGGGCTCAGGTGCGGTCGGGCCGCCCGTTGGCACCGAGCAGCAGCTGCCAGCCCCATCCCCGGTCCCCTCGCAAGCCCCGCACTCTTACTAGGACATGTCGAGCAGCTGGTCCAGGTCTACGCCGCGGTACGTGAACTTGCGGAAGGTCCGCTTCTTCTTCTGCTCCACCTCCGCCTGCAGCGGGACGGAGCGGGGGTCACGCCAGGCCCCGCCGCGCCCCGGCCCCGCACCGGGCCCAGGGCCCGGGAGGCCTAGCCCGCCTGCGGCCGCCATGGCGACCCATCGCGCCGCCCGCCCACTGTCATGCGGTCTCCGCGGGGAACGGGAGGCGACGGCCGCGCCATGGGCAGCAACGCGGGCCGCGGAGGGGCCGCAGGCGCGGAGGATGAAGGCGGATGGGAAGTGGCGGCGCCGCTGCCTACACCCACCATCTTGGATGCCGCTCGTCGAAAAAGGAGGAACTCGCGGCGGAAGTGGCAGTTCTCGCGAGAGCGGGGAGAAGGAAGGGCGGAAGTGGTGGCAAAACCCGCCCAGGGCCGCCTGGGCGCGGCCCTTCCGCCCTCATTGCGCTTAAAGGCGCAGGAGCCTCTCCTTGATCTCATCCTGCCCACGGCGGGACGGGCAGGGGACCGTCCGTCCCAATTGTCTCCCTCACCGCTGACCCCCAGCTGCTCCACGCACAGAGCTCGCCCAGCTCGGGCAGCATCACCCTCCAGCCGCCCACCCCCTCATGACACGCCTGTCCAGCTGGGAGCCCCCAGGGTATTCCAAGCAAGGACACACAGGGGCCCGTGTCCTCCCTGTCTGCGCAGCTCCCACCAGCCCCAGCTCGTGCAGCACTGCTGCCTCCAGCCCCTTCCCCGCACACAGCTGAGGAACAGCGGGCAAGTGTTGGCATGTCCTGGGCTCAGCACAGCTCGATGGGCCTCACGCTGCACAGGCATCTGGAAAAGCTGGTTCTGCCCCCAAGCCACCTTCCCTGCCCCAGACCTTGCAGAGTTACAAGGTGAAGGCAGGTGGGGCAGCGACTGGCTCTGCTTCCAGCTGGCGGCTCTGAAGGGCCACACTGGGTCCTGAGGCTGTGGCCCACACTGTATTTCACCCAGCAATACATCAGGAAACAAAGCCAAGGGGGGGAAGTCAAAGCAACAGCCCCACGCTGAGGCAGAGCATGGACAGGAAGGAAACTACATCTCCATAGAGCGAGTGAGCATAAAAAGGCCCCCTTTTTGGATGGAAGCCCTGCGCACTTTGTACTTGTGTAAGGAGAAGAATCCAAAGGATTTGCAGCAAGTGAAACTGGAACGATGCTGACCAAGGAGCTGCTGCAAAGAAAACCAACCCCACGTTAATGGTCTAAGAGCAATTTACGGATGGTAAATCCCAACAGATCCTGACTTTCAAGGAGCACTGAGCAAGTCCAGTTGAAGACTTCAACTAGCCCCCTTCAGGAGCTAGACTTGATACGATGAATAGGCTACACATTCCTGGAGAGTCAGCTAGATCGTGGATTTGAGTTGGTGAGGGTACTGTCTTATTGTACCCACAAAGAGAAGCCAAGAATGTGATTCTCGGGTAAACACCAGTAGATCATTTCAACAGCAAAATCACTTCCATTTCCAAGGTGAGGAAAATGAAAAGATGTTCACCTAGAGGTGAACTTCTCCCATTAGTACCCTCACATGCCTCTTGCAGAATGCAGTTTAAGGTGCCTTGAAGATCCAAGGTCAGATGAAGAGCAGCACTGACCCAAAGGCCAAATCCTGTTGCAAAGGCTGCTGTTACAAGACAAGATTTTCAGGGCTGCCAACTGATTTCTCATGGAAACTGAAATCCAAAAGGAACTTTTTGGTAAAAAGAAAAAATAAAATGGAGACAGTCTTGTGTTTCTAATCCAAATGTACTTCTCTTTATTCAAACCAGGGGTAATCAGTGGTTAGTGCAAAATGCACCTAAACCTTTTTGCCTGAGGGAAATCTACATCTTAACAAGGCCTCCGTTAACCCCTAATGAAATCCACAGAGGATTTTAGAGTTTGAAGCACAGACCTAATGCTGTGCTTCGTAAGTGACTCTGTGCGTCAACAAGTCTGTACCTGCCTTGTTACCAGTTCTATACCAGCAGGTAACAAAAGCAGAATACACTCAGTAGATTTCTTTCAACTCCCAGAGTTTCTGAACCATCCACCCCACCACTAATGTCAGGAGCAAGGGGGTTACAACTTACCCTCACTTCCAACAGTGCTAACGGAAACCCTGTTTTAAATTAAAAAATAAGCCAGCATACATAGTAGAAAATTTCTCTTAAAAATTTCACAATCTGTAAATGTATATATTTTTTTCTTTAAACATAAAAGTTTAACAATATACGGTAAAACAAAGGCTCAGGAAAAATAATTTCAAAAAAAAGAAACCTGAAGTTTTGAATTAAAGCTGAAGACATTTTTAAAACCCTGTAGTTTGAACCAGTGACATTTTCTTTATTTGTGCTGATGGGTTAGAGAAAGGAAAATATTTAAAAACTGCAGTCCAAACACCCACAGCTTTGCCTTCAGAAGCCATCTCCCCCACCCCCCAAAAATGTTGTTAGGTTTTTCTTCCATCAAGTATGTGATTGTCACAAGTTCAGAAGTCTGGGATTCCTGGGTTCAGCTGGTACCAGATATCCCGGTGTGGACAGAATTCCCTGATTGCCAGCACATGCTAGCGCCTGTAGGGGTGAAATCCTTGCACATTATGGTTCTGTCCTCGTCCAAAACCACTTCCTCCAGCAGGTGGGCCACTTGATGGTTGCACCGAGGGGCCTCCATAGGGAGGGGGTTGCTGGCTGGGATCAGAGAAACCTTGTCCAAAACCACTCAAGTCTTGTCCATATCCTGGGGAGAAGGGAGAAAAGGCAGTAGCATCAGCTGTCGTTATCATCCACATACAGGCAACAGCAGAGGCAAAAATTCAAACTCCACTCCCTCCCCACCATGCACAGCCTTAGGAAATACATGTAAAGATAAGCAGCTGCTTTCAGTTCTTGCCGTTATCTGCATTCACAAATAAATAGGTAATAAGCAGAAGTACTGAACAGGTATCATGAATGGTAGGTTTCACTTTCGATAAAAATCTTACCTAGGCTGGTAGTTAAACTATCATATTCCTGCTGTTCAGATGCTTACATGGAGTGGTTTGCTAGTTATCTGTCAACTCACTCTAAATAGCAGGCTTTTCTGCTAAAAAACAGCAGTGACAATTTCAGCAAAGATGAAGATGCAACACAGATGCTTCCCTGCAAACCCCACAGCTACTAAAACTGCAACACCTTACACTAACTGGGCAGATGTATTAGCCTCTGACGCTCCACTGTCATTTTCAACATCTTCCCTGGCAGGCCAAAATGTCCTTTACTGAAGGGACACACTGAGGAAGGCATCCTTAAGCTTCCTTTTAAAGAGCACTGCTTCCTGAATATCTATTAACTAGTCAGCCTCTCCTTCTGGAAAAACTCAGTTGCCAAAATCTGAACTGAAATGCAATGGGGGTAAAAGCGGTAGAGCAGAATCCAGAAGGTTGCAAATACTGCACCCCCTGCCTCCTTTGTAACGGAAGCTGTGATCCCAAGTCATCATTAAAAAGAAGCAATGTTCTTCCCCTGAAGCTTAACTCCATGGAAAAGACTCAGGTGCCTATGTGGCAAGTTCATATAAACTTATGACAAAGCCTCACCCCTCTATTGCTACTGTAGAAAAGGGCCACTACTTCTAACCTAGCAAAAGGTTAGCAGTAATAAATAAGCAGCTGCCATTCCCCCAGGTGTCCACTACCATGACAAAATGCACCAGGTTTCTGTCAGTTTTAAATCTAAAAGGGATTTAGATTAAAAGAGATCTCAAAGTTTATGCTACTGTATGCTGTCAATCAACAACTCTCCCATTTTCCTTCCTCTATAGGAAACAGAAGACTTCCATCCCCTATCTGCTTGTCCTTAACTGACCTTCTGCCTGTTCAGCGAGGTTGTGACTATCATTCTGCAACACAACCCATAGCAAAGTCCAGATCTGGGACAACTAGGGGATGGGGGCGGGGAGGGGAAATGAAGATGAAAGACTGGCTGCAATTCTTGCCACCAATATGAAAGACAACTAGATGGGTAGTAAGAACACTGAGAAACTAAGACATTTAATAAAACTACCTTTAATTAAATACAACTCTTACTCATAATAGTGGCATCAGTGCAAGCTGCTTCTATAAAAGACAGTATTAAGAAACCTAATTACTAAGTACGCTTCTGCAGCTCTGTGACTCTCTGTGCAGGTTTAACTCTCTTAATCCAAATCTGCCTGTCTCTTGGGAATTGCTACCACTAATGAGCCTTAAAGGACATCTATCACAGGCTTCTTCTATTAGCTCAAAGTGCTAATCCAGTCTTTTTTTTCCCATGCAAAGATAAGGAAGCAACCAAAAATACAATTTAATTGTATAGCAAGGGGCAAGGCTTAGAGTGAGGGAAAAAAAATCAAGCTATTGTACACTGCAGTGCTACAGCATATAGTAGTGGAAACCAGAGCTTTCAATTTGCTTATCACAAAGGAAGCCCACAGCATAAATCTGCACAAGCACAGATTTAATATGTATTCCCTTGCTGTTTTCATACCTCCTCTTACCATTCTTACATTGCACCAGCACTTCCCACAGGGAAGCAGTTCACCTGCTGTCAGAGTGCTCTGCTTTCTAAACAAGCTGTGCCAACCATTACACTTTATTGATGGAAACCAAATTCAGTTTGATTACAAGAGATAAAACCTTGCTAATGCAACAACTTAGGGAGTAAACAGCAATATCATTTATATTTTAGTCGAAAGTTTTCACTTCAGCCATCTAACGAATATACAGAACCATATCGTATCGCCCTTACTGGCAAAAGTAAACATTTGAGCCACATTTCTTCCCCCCACCCTCTTAAAAGAAGAGACCCTGCAAGAAACACAAGTTAATTTCCCAAATGCAGATATATTAAGAGCATTGGTTGTAAATAGGCACCACCTACCTAGATCTCTCACTGCTCAGCCTGACCATAAGAGTGTAAACAAAGTATTGGCGCGTAGCCTGAAGGGTCTTGAGAATAGGTACCCAGCCCTAGTAAGAAATGAGGAGACCAGGGTGACGAACCCCAAGAGAGCCCTGTACAGAGATAATTTTTGGGGTGAGGGAGACACACCCGTGTTAGTGTTTAATTTACTAGTGTTTACATTCATCCTAGCTGTAAACATAGCAGCATTTAAGATGCTGTCAAGCCAGGACAAATCTGAAAATGCCACAATGATTAGATAACTCAGTGCCCGTTTAAAGTCTAAGTTTTATGCATTTATGTAAATACATGCAGATAAGCTAGACTGCTGTTTGTACAGCAATGCTGCTAACTAATTTGCAAACACATGAAGTGCTGAAGCTCTTTAAAAAAAAGTTTAAAAGATTTTACATGTATTTTTATAAACATGTTGACAATT